TTTCCCATGTTATTTATAAATACACAGATCCTTTTCAAGCCGATAATTTAATGAATTCTAAAATGTAAACCCAACACGTGATTAAAAGTAAAAAAAATTAAATATGAAAAATAAATCATTTTAAATTACATCTATTCTTTGTATTTGGTTCAGTTTTGGTTTGATCCAAACAATAACTGAAATCTTTTTGTTTCCTGAAAAATCTACCAGAAAAGACAGGTCCAAACTCAGGTCAAAATACCTTCATAATGTAAATGTATTAATCACTTTTAATCTTTTTTCCACTGACCAGCTCTTGTTTTTTTTTTTTGTGTGTGTATGTTTTGATCAGAATGAGTTTGAAACCTCTGGTCTAAAGCACCTTTTTTTTTTTTTTTACATTTAAAATCATTTAAAGATAAAGGTCTTGGAATCTATGACAACGAAACCCAGAACGTCACATGTCTCTGTCTGTGTTTGGATAATTACAATGTCTCAGTAAAAATACTTTCACACATACTGTACCTTTTGGAATCCATGTAAAGCCATAACTTCAATAAAACTCACTGTGTATTGTAAAGTTTTTCATTTGAACTTCTACTTTCTCAAATACTTCCCTAACCTCAAATATTAAAGCATAATGAAGTTTGTTGACTTGCTTTTTCTTGGCGTTTACGTTCCTTCGCAGCACCAGCAGTGACGCACCACCGCCCTCTACTGGTGCAGGGGAGCCGTGCAGACAGCAGGGGGGGGCTTTGAACTTCTCCTCCTCCATCTCCAGAGGTGCACATCAAAACACATTTCTATTTAGGAATTCTTCTGCTGTCCCCAAATCATATCGCCACATTTGACACTCGGAGAACTTGGGCCAGGACTTAAAAGGCAATGGGAGCTTGGAAAAAACATAGAAATAAAATAACATAAAAGGACAGGACACAACTGACTGAGAAAGTTAGACGTTTGGGTAAATAGTGATCAGAGATTAGATAGTTCAGGGATAAATGCTGTGGTATAGAACTGTTATGATAATTGTAGAAATGACATTAGTTGCTATTCTTAACATGGGGCTTGCTATAGATCAGGCATGTCCAAACTCAGGCCCGGGGGCCAATTGCGGTCCTCAGGGTCATTTTATGTGGCCCTCTGCCTTGCTAACCCAAAGTAGTAGTAGTAAATTTCTCCATTTTGAGATCAATAAAGTTTATCTTATCTTACCGTAGTCTTTGAGAGTATAAACACAAGTTAACCGTGTCATCCATCCAACTTCAGCTCAGCCAATACAGACATGTCGTAACTCGTTCTAAAGCCAAGGTCATCTGGAATTCAGTCGTTGACTTGTGAGCTGGTGAGATGGTAAACATTTGTCATTCAGCCAACTACAGCTCAAATCGTTTTGAAGCTCAGAACAGCCCGGTGCCAGTCAAGACAGTTTTTCAGTCCGTGACGTCGGCCCCTGGACTAGTCTGGTTAACTATAGCGGCCCTCAAACTAAAATGTTTGGACACCCCTGCTATAGATAAACAACAAACTCAAGGAAATTAGGGGTTGGGGCCAAATCCAGCCCTCGCAACCATGTTTCGTCGCCCCTGGAATTATTTTCTATGAACATTATTAACTTGATAGTAATGGCATGCCGTACCTCATTTTAAAGCTAATCCCACTGCACATGAATTTATTGGGATATTTTATTATATGAATTTAACGTATATACTAGCAATAGCATCTTTGTACAGTCTCATATATATACTGTCAAAAATAAGGAAATTTTACTGGATCTTTGCGCAACAAAGTAACCTGGAAGTTTTATTCCGTTTTTTCTTATTTTTCAGGCAGAATAAAATCAGGATATGCATTAAATGGTGTAATCTTGCGTCACTTCAAAAGACATTATTAGAGTCAAAACAACAGAAAGAAGTCGCCATGACCTGTTATGTCTGTGTTTGTGTATTTTGTGAAGGCTATTGTTCATAATATCTATAAATATATCTGTGTTGTAATTATTATCCTACACTTTCACTTCTGGTTGAGATGACAAAGAAGCGGAATCTAATCTGATCTAATGTATTCTAAAGTTATTTAAAGAGCTTCACAATGTTTTTTGGAGCACCAATATTTCCCAATCCCTCCACACACGGGGACGTCAGAAGCGAGAGGCCGTACCATCCGTTTTATCTATTGTCTAGCATCTATTGTACATGCTTTTAGTGGTACGCAGACACGGGGAGAACATGCAAATGAAGGCAAAAAGGCTCCAACTCGCCAACCGTTGTGCTGCTGCTTTCCCAATAATATTCAGATCTCAATAGCCAAGATGAAGAGAAATGTTTCCGTCTGAATCTGAGGGACTAGAAAAAAGTGTGTTTTCTTTATATCAAAAACTATTGTGGAGAAAAAACACACAAAAATTGCAGTGATTTTGAAACTGCTTTTGAATATTTAATGTCTGAATAAATCATGAATTGGCACATATGGATCAAAAGGATAAAAAAAAAACATGCATTAATATTCTGGGATTTTTTTATGAATTTAACAGAAAACAAACAAGTTTCTTCCACATGTTTTATACTAACTTTAACTGAACACATTCATGATGAAAGAAGAGGTCTGAGGCACCGGGACGTGACTAAAAAATCCTTTATTTTGCTCAGGCACAGAAATATAACGCACTCGACTTTCTCAATTCTTTTTAGATCAATGTAACACTGGGTTTGTGTCTTTCTCACAACAGTAACAGATAAAACAAGGCAAGCTTCAGCTCTTAAAAAACGTGGGTTAGGGTTTTGTTATTTTTGAACTTTTATTTTATTTTCAGCCCCTAGAGAGGAATTATACAGTGAGATAAATAAGTTTGATGAGGTGTAACACTTTGAGACCTACGGGACGACGTCAGATCACGTTTTCTCACTCATTTGAGCAACTTGCGAAATAAGAATTATAATTATTTATGTATTTATTCATTTATGTATTTACTTGCTAGGGACAAGTGTACGTCATCAACATGTGAAACACTCCCACATTTATAGCCAAGGCTAATTTGCAATGTCCGTCCCTAGATGCACATGAACGTGGAAATGAACAGGTAACAATGGTCCTCACTGGGTTCTGCATGAAACAGATGCTGATGTTAGAACCAGACGTGCCTCGGACTCTTCTCCCTGCATTCAATGTTATTTTAATGTAAATAAAAACATATTGATTTGGGACAGAAACCAAATCCTAAACAATCATTAGTATCTGAACATGTATTGTCTTGTTAAAATATTGGTGTATAACATATAAAAGGTTGAAGCATCAAGAAACGTTTTGAATTGCTTCTTATTTTGCGAGTTATTCTGCACTTGACTTGATCTGAAACAGTGGCCATAGTCTGATTTGCATAATAATGAGAGACTTTAAGAGTTGTAGAAGAGTAAAATAACTCCTTAAAATGACACAACATTATGACAATGTGATAAATAACGTTCAAAGGTCGGTCTTAAAGGGACAGTTTAAATGAATTTCATAAATAATGCGCATTTGATGTTACTATAGCACAGGGACAGGGTTTTTTTTAAATCATACATTTCAAATTTCCCTTTTGGCAAAATCTCCAACAGGAAACACAGCTGGAGACAATGTTAAACCAATGGACAGTGGGCCTCATTTATGAAACTTGCGTACGGTCAAATCAGGGTGTAAACGAGGCGTACGCAAAAGATTTACACTTTTCCGCATTTATCTGGAAGTGAGAGTACGGTAGCACAGAATTTACACCAAGTCAGGAGGTGGTGTAAATGTTTACGCTCATTTCAACCTTCGTCACAACACGCCAAAACACGCATGAAATGTAAGATTTGGAAAACAATTACCATATTCCCACTCTGGCAAAATTATAAGCTGTGTTTTGAATTTGCGCATCTGAAAAACTCTAACACTCTGGAAACACATTTTGAATAAATCACAGTTCATGATGAGGACCATCTTCTGTTTCGTCGTTTTTAAATCTGACGTGTGTGTATTTTTTTCATCTGTATGTTCATTTTCTTTTTAAGGTGAAGCGCTTTGTGATCCTGCTCTGTGAAGGCGCTACATACAAATACACCTGCTCACTTATGTGTGATCATCTGTTTCTCCGTAAATCTGTGGCAGACCCTGCGTAATTACACACGCCACACGGCTATTTGTTTTGTCTCATTCACCTCTGGCAAAGCAACGTATTTCTTCATTAGTTATGCAGCAATGGCAGAGAAAAGCACTTTTTTTTGCGTAATGCGCACTGTCCGTCCCACCGCGAGACTCATAAGCATCCTTTCTCTCTCACATGAGATCGCTTCATTGCATTCACAAGAAGATGTCGCAGACGCTTGACCCAGATGAGAGTCACCGCTGAGACATTAATATTCATTGATCATTCATTCATTCATTCATTTCTAAAGAGATGAGCGCTGCAGTGGGTCTAGACACTAGGGAAAAAACTTGTATATAATATAGCGGGGTTTTCTTGTTGACAAAACAATACAACTCAAAACAAACTCAGTGCGTGTCACTAACAGGCCTTCTGATGCTTCCAACTAGACTTGCTGGCCGGCTTCCACGCTGACCTGACGTAAAAACGGGGCGTTTCCTGAATATTTCTAGGTGTGACTTTCATAAATACGCTAGTTTTCACCGCGGCATTTATCAACAGCCACAGAATGCGTACACTCAGATCTGTGCGTATCTCACACGTTCATAAATCCCGCGTTGAGTCTGGTGTAAATTTAACAAACACCAAAAATACACACCCTTTTCTGAGCAAGATTCATAAATGAGGGCCAATGAGCTCAACCAATTCAGAGGCAGGAGGGTGAGGAGGGGCGGGTCTAACCACTGCTCCCATTGGAAAAATCCATCCAAAATGTGAAAAGTTATCAACATTGACTTTAAGTGCGTGAGTGTCCTCTCTGCTGCGGGGTTCGGGAAGAACAAAGTTGCTTGTGCAGAACGATAGTTTAACTTTAGCGTCAGGAGCGTCAGGAGCAGTGAACCCTGTGAGCTCGTGTTCAGGTGCTCTGTTCTAGTCCACTGTGCTCAGTCTGATCACTGTGAGGGTCCAAATGACTGAGCTCAGCACTGGGAGGGTCCAGGGCCCCTGAGGGTTCGTCCATGTGCCCAGACGGCGTGTCCAGGAGGCCAGGGATGCAGCGGTGGCTCTTGAAGGTGCCCAGGTGCCTGAAGCTGCGGCCACACTGCTGGCAGCAGTAGGGCGTGGCCCCGCTGTGGATCCTCTGGTGAGTGTAAAGGTTTCCCAGCTCTTTGAAGCGGCGGCCGCACTGCGGACAGCCGTACGGACTCTCCCCCGTGTGCACGCGCTGGTGTCTCTTCAGACCCGACAGCACAGAGAAGCCTTTCCCACACTGGGGGCAGGGGAAGGGGCTCTCGTTACCACTGTGCACAAGGCGGTGGCTCTTGAGGCGCGCGGCGTGCCTGAAGCGCTCCCCACACTCAGGACACACAAAGGGCTTCTCTCCTGTGTGGATGCGCTGGTGCTGCCGCAGGTTACCCAGGTAGTTAAAGCAGCGGCCGCACTCCCCGCACTGGTACCCGCCCTCGATCCTCAGCTCCTTCTTTAATCCAAAGCAGCGGCGCTGAGGCTTCGCTGCCTCTGGAGCATGACTGTCCGCACTCTGGGCCTCGGGCCTCTGGTTCACATCTGTACCATTGTCTCCCAGAACAGAGCCTGCTGTGGACTGCAGTGCTTCCAGGGCCTGAGCCTCCACAGAGTCTGGGTGTATAAGTTTTATGTGCTCCTCCAAGAACGCAGGTCCAGGACAGAAGGTTCCACACAGAGAGCAGATGAAGGAGTGTGTGGAGAAGTTGCGCACTGTAAATAAATTCACACACTTATAACCTATGTAAACGCTGAATGTGAAGAAGACTTTGTAACGTTACCTGCGTCTGGCCTGGTCATGCTGCTCTGCACAGGAGTACTGGGCTCTCCTGGAGAGCAGGGATGCTGCATGGAGAACTCTTCACTCAGCAGTTCCTCCTGAGTCAGACTTGAGCCATCCAACTTCAGCACCTTCTTCTCATCTACCTCTGCAGCCGGTCCATCCTCCGCCTCTGGCTCCTTCATCACTGCACACAGAACCGTAGTCATCATCACTGTGTGTTTGAAGGCTAGGTGAGATATACTGACCTTTGTGCTCAGGGGAGTATTCCACAGGAGCTATCCACTCATATTCATACATCCGCTTGCTCCCAGAGGGCATCATGCTGAACAGGTCCTCTGTGGTGCTCTCCTCCTGACCCGGGTCGGTACTGCTCAGCTCGGGGTCGGACCACAAGCTGAGGGCCGCTCTGTCGGAGTTCTGCTCTGTGTCCAAATCCCCACATCCTCGGGAGTTCTTGTCCTTCATCAGATAGTCACATATGGCGTCTATGTTCTCCTTCTTCACCCCTGGGAGCACCTTGGCTCTCTTGACCTCGGGGCCGTTGTTGTTCTTGGTTCCAGGCTCGTATTTCCTCACATCCACGGCGGACCCACACCCCCCGGGCACGGCGTCCCCCTGGCCGGGCTCCAGCTTCGCCTTCAGCGCCTCGATCTCTGCGCTTTTGTCCCGAAGCTCCATCTTCAGGACACGGATCCGGATCGTGACCATCTGTCGGATCTGGGAAAGCGCAGTGTCCAGAACCATACTGATGTTTCGGCCCAGGTGCTCTGTGATGTCGCTGACCGAGCACAGCAGCTCCTCGTCGGGCTCCAAGTCCTCGTCCGGCCCGGGAGGCTCCATGGGCAGGGTGCAGAGGCTGGAGTCCGCCGCAGTCGTGCTTCTCTTACGGATCATGGGCTCTTTCGGAACCAGAAGTGTGTTTGTGTGGAGTGTGTTTTGTGCAGACTTTAGATGGCTACGCGACAAGCTAATCATTAAAGGGAGACAGTTCCCCGGATGTGGAGCTGGGGACTTTCAAAATAAGACATGTTCAGCAGCATGGCAATACAACACAAACGAATAGTGATGGGAGAAAACCTTATTTTGAAATAAATACATTTCTAAGACAGGAAAAAGCGTATTTTTAATAGTTATACACCAGGCCACCACGCGAGGGCAGCAACGAGACCAAATACTTTTCATATTATATTCATAAAGCTTCTATACTTAGCAGTCGTATGAGTTGTACCGAGCTGATAAACTGTAATCATATTGACCCTAGGCCTGTTACTGCAAATACTGTTTGAATGTGTATGTTTATTATACAGACAGTGAATACAATAAGGAATTGAGGATATTGTTTTACTCAAAATGAACTATTGTGAGCTGTAAAAGAAGAATCAATCAATCAAATGTGCACTGTCATCTTTTTGTGTCCTGGAATACATACACACACCCATACAAATCATACAAGGTCAAAATCTTACGTATGTGATGGACAGATGTGTCTTTGCTCTTTGTGTTTTCTGCCGTCTCCTGAAAGTCTTGTCAGAGGAAAGGATTTGAGGAGAGGAAATGCTGAGTGTGTTCCATCTACGCATAACAAACGTCCGTCATCAGGAGAATGGAAACACAACAGTCCTCATCCTCGTCTTCATCACTGCCTTTCTGTCTCAGGGATGCTTTTTGTCTTTCTGTAGCTTTCCCAGTTCTTCACACAAAATACACAGGACTCAAAATGCGAGAATGCAAAAAATAAAAAATATGGTTTAATGATTAAAAATAAATCCAAACAAAACCCAGGAACCAGGAAAACAGACTGACAAGGACAGAGACAATACAATGGACCAGCAACAAGAGGAGAGGAGCACAGGTACATATAGACACAAACACAGGTGGGGCAGACAATCAACACAGGGAACAGGAAGTCAAACTACACAGGGAAAATAAATCAAAATAAAACCAAGTAAAATAAACACAAAATCCTCACCATGACAAATAATGTATTATAGAAGGATAACATAAGGACATAAAACCATTGTGTAACTGGGACACAGTGTTGCTATGAAAAAAAAAAAAAAAAAAAACATATCTACAATTAATTAATTAATTAACAATAACAAAGAAAAACAGGGCGGATTAAATTGCGTCTGTAGTTGTTTTTTTATTGTTTTTGGGTGATTTGAAGGATATTGTTTAAATTAATTTTGTTTTAAAATATTTTGAAGAAAGGTTATCGATTTAAAACATTTTGATTTATGAATTTGGAATTTTCCCGGAATGATTAACAGATCAAAAGTATAGAGGAGGATTTTCCACAATTTTAGGAAAGAACCGCCCCCTCCACTTTTTGAACAAAACTATTTGCTCTTATGATGATGATTGACAATTGGGAGGACCAATAGTCTTGATGATCCACCCGGAAGTAGAAAATTCTTTATTATACCTTCAAGTAAGCATATCTTGATAAAGAAAAGTGATGTTGGGGATGAAACTTTTTCTCTTATTCTTTTTTTCCCCACTCTGTTGACGTTCCTGGAGTTTGCCCTGATGACGACACAGCAGTGACCGAGGCTCCAGGACGCGGTGCAGCGGTGTCTCTGTCCTCTCTCTCCCCCCACACAGAGCGCATGTGAGCGGGGAGAGTAACAGAGACATGTCCACGGGTCCGCGCAGAGGCACCGGCAGCAGCCACAGCCACAGCGGCCGCAGCGGCAGAGGCAGCTCCGAGGGGGGGCAGCAGCAGCAGAGGGAACAGCCGCTCAGGAGCAGCGGGGCCCCGGGTAAGAGCAGGGACCGTGTGACCGCAGCAGATATGAGCGTCATGTTGTTTGCTTTTGATTCCACGCGTCACTTACTGTCATGTGTGAGGACTGCAGGAGGATCAAATACAGCTATAGTCGCACAAAAGTTTTTAAAAGTTTATAAATAATAGCCGTGACTTGTCCCTGTACTAAAACCAGACATTTTTGAACCTTTTTTGCGTCTTATTTACTTCTGTTGTGGTTCTCTATGAATTTAACCCAAAACAGAGCAGAAAAATGTAGTGAAATGTCCTTATACAATCTTTTAGGCGAGAATTGCCTCTGTATCCAAGACACTTTTTATACAGCGACCTGGCTTCACTCACACGTTTTCCAATATTTTCTTGCAAAGTTTATGTTTTTTAGTGTAATTTTAGTTGTAATCTGTCTCTTATAAAGGGTTCCCAGCTTTTTTGTCTGTTTCACATCCAATTTCTGAAAAACTTGGATGTGAGTTCTGTGTGATTTAGGAAAGAATGGCTTCTCAATACCACCATTAGAATTCCAGGTAAACAAGTGGTGTATGTGTTAACTTCAGGCTGTATGCGTTTGGAAAATTTTAAAATAACTTATATTTTTGTGACTGTGGAAAAACACTATGTAAACAAACAGGGCTTACTTCATTCTGGTTAAAATAGAATAATCGCTGCAGAATGATGATCAACAATTACAGTAAAACTTGGCCTTCCTCAGGTCAAACTCTAGCATACAAATCTGGAGCGGTCTTCCTTGAAAATGTGAGACAGGCTTCTGCTCTGACAATGTTCAAATCTAGGTTAAAACAGTTCTGTTTATCCGCGTAAACAAGTGAAGCCTGTGTCTTCACTCTTTTTAATGCACTGTGATTATGATGTTCATTCAATCCACTTTAGCACATTTTAAAAACAAGTTTCCAAAGTGCTGCACAGATAAAAGTAACACATTTAAATATTGCCAGCTTTACACGTTTTAGGAAATAAAACAAGTAAAACATTATGCACGACAAAAAATACAATAAAAAACAATAAAAATGTCATTAAAAACATTAAAATACCAGTTATCCAATTTAAAAGTAAGAGTAAGTTTTTCTAGAAATAATTTTTTTGTGCTGTTTGAAGGTTAAGGTTAGGAGAAACAGCTCAGAATACACAGTTGTCACAAACCGCTTTAGTATTTAAACTATAAAGCCATAGACCGTTTATTTGTCTTTTTTATGGGTTTCTGTCGTGTTTCTACAGGTCGCAGACTTTCCAAAGATGTTTCAATTCGAAAGAGAGCCCTGTCTATGCACGAGGACAGCCTTCCAGCAGGTGGGCCACGGGCTGATCTCTCCTTTAAAGCCACGTTAAGCCAAATATTAAACAAACATAAAACAAAGCAGCTTCACAGGAGGTGGTAAATGTCACCGGAGGGTCATGTGACAGGCGTGACTCTGCTCCGTGTCCCGTGAGTTTCTTAGTCATTTATTAATCCAGGCTGTATTATCAAAGACATCTCTCTGGATCGTTTCAAACATACATCTATTCTATCCAGTTTTTTTATTCTGGTATTTTTACCATAGACGGCAGGTTTTTCTCAAAGCACCACGGAGCGAAAAGTTCTGACTTTCTCTCAAATGATTTCAAATTGATTAAAGGAGAAGTATTACTCATTATTTTCAGACCAAAAACCAACTATAATGAGATTTTGCTTACTTTGTCATTTCATGTTTTAGAATATGAATTGATATCTTCAGTTGAAATGATACAGTGAAACAAGAACAAAGGGTAAAAAGGTCTGCCTGCAACTCCCCATACAGCCACCAGAGGGAAGAGTTGAATTATTTTGTTTGTTTTTTTCACATTTGAAAATTACCAGTTGCAAACACAGGCATGTGATTGTAAAGAACAGCATTTCACCTGAGAATTGGCCCAAACTAATTCAGGGACAGTACTTTTCTTTTCATAGCGGTGGTGTCAGAGTCATAGTTAACATTTATGGACCAATGGCTCTACGTGTTTTTTTTTTTTTTTTATCACTACATTTCTTCTTGTCTTTGAACTTTTTGATTCTCTCATCTGTGTTGGCAAGTCAACAGTTTTGTAAAGTCCTCTGAGATAACTACTGTTGTGATTTAGGGCTACACAAGAATACATTGAATTAAATTGAGTAGTGGTGCAGGGCTGAGACTGGAGCTTTTGGACAGAAGGGGCGGGGCTAGTGTGGACGTGTCTAAAAACCACTCCAGGTTCTTTTGGATGATGAGGGAACAATTTTCTAGCATGATTCAGTTTGTGCTTAAAATTTTGCTCCCCCAGCCAGAGATGTCATTGTTTTGACTCTATATATATATATTTTTTGTTTTAATCATGCATTTCTTCTTCATTTGTAACGCCCTCCGAGTTAACAACTGTTGTGATTTAGGGACATGATAAGTGATATAATTTCTTATCAAAATACTACAATAATGTCTAACAAAACACCTAGTCCTATAGTGATTTATGTGTCTGTCAGTAAAAAACATCATAATATGCAAATTAGATGGGTACATTTATTCTCTACATAATCCTTGGGCCATGTTTAATATTTTTTGAATTTACAGAAAGCCTTTATACTGTATCTTATCCATTTTAAGTTATAGCCTTGTCAATGTCCCCACCGCTGTCAGACTGTACAATAAGGCACTTTAAGTCGCTGCACTAAGACTGATAAAACCTGCACTACTATTGACACTTCTTCTAATTGCCACTTTTTTGTACGTAATATGTCCTGTCCTGTTTGCACATTTCTTACTTTTTGCACAATCTTGAGTGTTTCTATCCATGCCAAACGTGACATGTAAATTTCTCCTTTGTGAGATTAATAAAGTTTATCTTATCTTATCTTATGTCAATAGTGAGAGTTCTAGAATAATAAAACCTCTGGCGCTTAACTTAGACTTAGACAGACTTTTTTCATCCACAAGAGAAATTGCATTGTCGTAGTAGCTTGCAAAGTATTCCATGATAAAAAAATAACATTAAAGTAACATCTGAATATAAGAATAATAATAAAAAGATAATATTGTGAAAATACGGGTTAAGACTAGTGTTTCTAAAAACTCAAACCACTTCAAGATCTTAATATTCACCCAAAAATAAATGAAATAGCATTGAATTGAGTTGCTTGTTCTGCACTATCCTCTGCTCTGGGTCTAGTGACTGTGTTTGTCCAGCTCTGCCGCTGCTGCTGGACATGGTCAGGGGTCCGCTGCGCCTTCCTGCTGAAGAGGAGCTACAGGAAGTGCTGAGGGGGAAACTGCGAGCGCTGCAGGCCGACAGTGAAGAGGTCACCGCTGTGTTCACGGTGGGCTCTGAACACAACGCAACTCCCAGCCTGTGTTTGTGTAGACGTGTGTGTGAATGTTGTGTAATGTATGTGTGTCGCTGTCATGTTTGAGGTTGATTTCCTGTTTTGTTTTGTGATTTGTCAACCCCTGATATATTTAGTTCTACTTCCACTCTCATGTGTATCACCGGTGCACTGCAAAAGATCATGAATTGTAAGTTAAAAATGGCTCAAATTTGGCAGAATGTGTGTTAATTTGAGCAGATTTTGATTGCATTAAAACAAGTTCTACAAATGGGACAAAGCAAAATGATCCTGTTTTAAAAAGATACAACAAATATCTCAACAAAATAAGACTAAATGGCTTTGTCCCATTAGTAAAGCTTGTTTAAGATAGAAACACTCAGAATGCACTCAAATTAATACTAAAAAAACACTTAACTCAAGCTATTATTACTTATTTTTTATATATATATTTTTGCAGTGAGTCTTATAACAATAATAATAATAATAGTACATAGTATTTCTTAGGCGCTTTTCCTGTTTAGTTTCTTTTCTTGTTTACCCTGGATTTTGTTTTTGTTGATTAAATGCATATTTTTGGGTTTTGTCCTGCGTTTGGGGTTTGTTTCATTTTTTCCGCCTGTGCCAATATGTGTGTCTGCAGGAGCTGTCTGCCCATCTGCTCTCCATCAACCCAGAAGACAAGGTTATTTTTGTAACCTTTCAATCGTTTGAGGAGATATGGAAATTCAACACCTATTCCACCATAGGTAGGTTCACTTATCGCCTGCTCAGAAAGTGTGGGCTGTGTGGGCTGTAATACAAGGGGAAGTCCTGGATGAGGCTGGATTACTACTGGAACTTATATTGATCTTAAATGTTGCATGGTTAAAAACAAAGGAGGAATCTAAAAGAAAATGATGAAAAACAAAAATGAAAATCCAAGGTGTAAAACAGACTCAAACAGAAAGACAAAGACATTGACAAGCACAGGGGACATGGACTCAGGTGAATCACAGAGGGCGGGGCAGACAATCAGGGGAACAGGAAGTGAAACATTAAACAGAACCACAAGAAAATCAAGAGTCAAATTACAACAATCCACACCATGACTGTACTTGGCGTTGATTGTACATAATAAATGTTTATGGATCAAGAAATGTAGCTCCAGTTTCCTTCTTCAGAATTATCCCACCAACTTTCTCTTTGCTCCCAGGTTTCTTGGCCCATTGTTTGGAAAAGTTGCTGTTTGATTCAAAGCTGTGGCTACAGTCTGTGGAGGAGGAAACGTCTGCTGGGATTTCATTTCAACAAGACATTTTAGATGGGATTTTCAAAGGCCTCCTCATGCAGGAGGGTGAGTGTCTGTCCTCACTCATTCTATCTTTATACAGGAAGTAATCTGATTACTGTTGTGTCTTTCTCCGCAGGCTCCTTTTTTGCGAGCTGCATCACAAACCAGATGTTCGACAGTTCCACCTCAGGGGGAGACCTGTACCTGGAGCAGGGGGACATAGCCCAGTTTGAGCCTCCCTTCCTGGGCTCAGGGTGGAGTGTGCGCTGTCTCTCGGACGGAGCTCGAGGGACGGCCCCCAGACCGTCTGTGGAGCCTGTCCCGGCCTTTCACCAGTGGGCATCCTCCACCCCCTCCATAATCCATCACATCATTATTGTTGAACATGTCATTATTGTTTGTTTGTTTGTTACAGATGGTTTTTAAAATCCTGTCCAGAAAACATCTTAATTGGTGATGGAAAACCCTTGTGTAACTTCCCTTTGCAGTTTGGTAAGTTAATAAAAAATACTTACGTTGTTAATACTTTAGTTTTTTTTTCTTGAGCAGAAATTTTTTGAAATTTACATTGAAATTTCAAATGTACCAACATAAGGTGAAACTATAGAAAATACCGTTGCTTGATCGTATAATTATGTATTTATATATATGGATTTTCATGTGTATATAATGTATGCGCAGGAGGCAACATAACAATGTAGAAAAATGTTCTACATAAACTCATTCATTCATTCATTTCTCAACCCTTTATTAATCAATTTCTGGGTAGGAGTTAGAGAGTGGGGGTGGCAATGAGAGCTGCCACCCAATGCTCCATATACTAAGGCTGTAAATATTGTAAATCCTCATGAATGTATAATTTATGCTCAAATGAAAGAAATCAATCCAAAAAAAAAAAATCTAATCATTCAACCACTGTTTGTAAACGTTGGTCCGTCCCCCCCTCAGCTCGTGGTTGCTGTGTGGCCTCAGAGGAGTACGACGCCGACGGACCAGACGAACTGAGCGTCGCGCCTCACGACCGCATCATCATCGTGGGACTGTTGGTGTCCTGTTTCCAGTGGTTCGTCGGGAGGAAGGAGAGCACAGGGGAAGTGGGTCTGGTCAGGACTGACATGGTCGCAGCTGCAGATACCTTCAAGTAGGTGGATCGGCTCAGACTCAGACTGCAGTTACCATGGCGATACGTGTTAAACTTGTGGTGTTGGCCGCGCAGCTCCGAGGATGTGTTTTTAGATGGAGAAGAGCGGGTGTTTGTCAGGCTTCAGGAGGACACTGTCATGGAAGAAGCTCTGGACTTACTGAAGAAAAAGCACAACCCCAGTCATTCTTATAAACTCGGTACAACACACTTCTTACATTTGTCTTCTATGAGATGCTATCAGATCAGATTGTATAGTATCGTACTCTAGCCTATAATCAATCTATTGTACACGACACCACACAACAAGGATAATTCCAAATGCACTTTAGAAACCGTGAAACTAGCATGACAGTTGCAAAAAGACCGGCAAAATGGCTATACCTACAGAAACTAGAATGTCCACCGACTGTCCAGTATTTGGTAAAGACGTATTTGTATCACTGCTTGGTTTGGCGGCCTTTCCTTGCCAAACAAAAACAGACTTGGTAGCCTGGGTAAAACTGGTTGAAGTGGCCAGTGTTGAGAAAGCAGGTATTGAGAAAGGCCAAGTCCATCATTGATTCTTTGGAATACCTCGTGAGAGCCAGTTTGAACTCTTTCAAATGTTGTGAGCTGCCTTGGTGTAGGACAAAAAAGGTTGGGGACTACATCTCTCCTAGCCTGGTCGTACCACACTATAGTACAAATTACATTGATTGACCGGAGTGTACGGATGGCTAAGGCCAGGCTACATTTCTCCCAACAGCTGTGAAGTGGCACTGGGCCTAAACCAGCTTTGTGCCATCCCCTCTTAGTCCTGCCATCTTGCTATTTTGATTTTACTGTTTCTGTTTTAATGTTTTAATGTTAGCTTGCTGCAAAACCAATTTTCCTTATTGGGACATTAAAGAGAACTTTGAGAACTTTGAATTCAGAATGTGATGGTAATTGCTGATGCTCATGTGTTCTGGTCCTTCACACAGATAAGATGCCCAGACAAGACCAGAGAAGAAGAAGTAAGTCTTGCACCAGATGCTTTGACTTTACATTTGCTTTAGTCGCTTACGTGTCTTTGATTATTTTCTTAATAGTGAGTTTCATGAAGACAGACGAACCGGAGCACCCAGAGTTGAAGACGCATATCCGCAGACTTCTATCCTCTCGGAGCTCTGAGAAACCCTCCAGTCCGACCAATATTCCCCTGAACAACGTCCCGCCGGAGTCCCCAACCTCCTCCTGCCCACGTTTCTCCGTCCCCAATGTCGTAGAAGGCAAGAACCACACAGAGGAGCTCATGCCGCTGTTTACATATCTAGAAAACCAAAACTATAACGTGCACTACGGTGAGCTTTACCGTCTCACTCCGGACCAGCTGTCTTCCACCACTTTCGTCGGTCACTCTGATGAGGACCAGCTCGCGTCCTTTCTTAGCGTCGCTAGAGAAACCGCCAGGAAGAAGCGCCTTTTCTGGTCCCAAACACGCATCTGCTTTCTTCTGGGCAAACTTTGCGTCGGTCGCTCCAAGTTCAGCCAGGCCAGGGTCTACTTTGAGGAAGCCGTGAGCGTGCCTCGAGAAGGATTTGCCGATTTCCGACTGCTCACCCACATCTACCACAACCTCGCTCAGATCTATCTCCTGCAAAAAAACGCAGAACGCTTTTTCCTGATGGCAGAAAAGCTTGTCTCGCTGCTAATGGGGTTCGCATACTGCCTGGACCTTCTATCGGACGACTCCATTTTGAAGCTTATCTTGAAAAAAGCCATTCTCTCCAAAAACAAACAAGCAGAGTTGCGAGCGTGTTATCTGTTGGCGAGGCATCATTGGGCGCGAAATGAAAAACACAACGTTATTTCTTACATCGAAAGACTGCTTGTACTTTCCAGCGAAGATACACCGACATGGAGTAGCATGTCTACAAGTTGTGGCTATTTAACGTTAGCGTCGCTCTACAAAGAACTAGACCTGGAAAACCTTAGCATCTGTTCTTTCCGGAGAACTTCTCTAGACCCTTCGACAACAATCGCGACCACCTTGAGTTGCGTCCTACACCTTGCAAACCATCAGAAAGACCAGATAAAACCGGAGACTTCTTTCCCGTGCGGCCTTACGCCTTTCTTGCACAAGGCTTTATCTTTGTCGGAGTTCCAGGACAAACGGCGAAGCAAGCACCACGCGTTGGGTCATCACCTCACGCTCTGTCTGAGTGAGATGTACAGCAGGCATCGCATGTTGGACAAGGCTATTGAGTACATGCACAGACTTGTAGAAAGCAGTCCCAGCTCGCATTCTCTGGGCACGGCACAAGTGAACAGCGCCCTCGTCTGGATGGCGTGGCTTCATATCGAGAAATGTCAGCCTGATGTGGCGTTGGATGTACTGGATTTAGTTCTGGCTTCCATGCCTGAGCACTGTACGTCGCCACAAGAAGGTAAGTCCATTCTTTTACCATGATTATCAAAAATGTACATAACAAAGCAGAAATTTCTGGATGGCTATAGTTCGGATGTTAGGAATGATCACTATAGTTTTGGGTCAATTAAATGTGTTTTTGTACTGTAATGATTCAAAAGAAAGGAGAACTCAAAATATGATACTGACCAAGTATTTCCCTTTTACGTGCATTAAGCTTGGAATATTTTGTGGTAATTGGGGATGAGGTTCTGATGGTAAAGCTGTCAATTCTTCTTGGCAAAAAGCTTCTCGTTCCTGTAAATTCCACGGCCGCCTCGCATGAACTGCACATTTAGGATCTCCCCAGAGCGACTCATTTTCTTTTAAAATAGAAAGCCTTTTTATTTTGAAATACAAGGCTTCACACAACCACGAACAATGAGTGTGTGTGTGTGTGGTCATTCATAATCATCCGAAATATGACAAAAAATGACTGAATCACCGAAAGTGTTGGTTCATATCTCGCCAGGTGAAGTGTTAAATCTGTGTGGCGTAGCGCTCTGTTCTATGGGAAACCTCCGGAGGGCAGTAGAGAACTACCAGGCGGCGATCGACATCTGCCAGGAGTATGAAGACCTCCCAAACTGGGCTGTGGCTCAGGCTAACCTGGGTAAACATCTTTATCTATCACTGTTTTCTTTCATCTCAGGGCCACATGTGTGAAAGTCTTTTATAAATCTGTACTATATAAAATGTAATCTTTGTATAGTGGACACTTCTTGCATATTCCCATTTTATTTCTTTGTTTGGAACGTTTTCAGTTTTGTCACACAATCCCAAATGGTCTCACAACCCACAACAGAAACATGAGGGCCTCCACATTATACAACATACAAATTTAGTTAATATACCCCTTGTATTTGTCACATTGTGAAATCTTCCTCACCAATAACAGTAAAATCAAACACACTGCTAAAAGATAAGTACAAAGTGAATATGCCTCAAGTGTGTGTGTGTTTGTGTGTGTTTGTGTTTGTGTTTGGTGTGTTTGCATTAGGACTGCTGTGTCTCAAAGCCGGAGCCTCTGCAGCCGCTCAGAGGAACCTGACGGAGGCCGTGCAGATGTTCAGTGAACTGGACGCTGCGGGACACGAGCAGAGCTTCAGCACCGTCCTGCTGGAGCTGGGGAAGCTCCATGTGGCACAGGGACAGATGCATTATGGGAAAGCCTGTTATGAGTGGGCCCTGCTGCTGTCCATCAGTGCCAACCTCTTGGACTGTGAGTGGTTTGAATGTCATCAATAAAGCTGAGCTACCCAACTTATGTTATCATGACTATTACGTCATCTAAAAATGGAGAAAAGTACAAAATCTAGTGATAGAACCAATCAGTTTTGAGAGCGAGGAACTAGTTTTCTGGATTTGATGGCATAGTTTTATGATTTGAAAGTTGGGTATCATAGCTTTAAGTTTTTCAGTAAACAGTGTTATAACAATGATATTATATTTTTTCTGATTTCTTTAGATCAGCTTTTTCAGACATAAAAGGGAAAAAGAGAGGACACTCAGCCAGATTTCAGCCCAAAGGGTCAAATAGTGACTCTCAGGGCTCTATTTTTACAAGTACAGAACACATAACTTAATTGCTTTCTAACAAGAGGAAGGCCACATGTTGTTTGTTGTCTTATTTGTTCACAACACTTCACTTTCACCAGATGATTTCTGGGAATATCAGGAAATAAAGTTGGGTACCCGTGTTACTCCTCAGTCTCTGCCCTACAATACAGAAATCCTATATTTACACCGCGTTTGGTCCTTGATAATCACATGTGAACTGGTTTCTTCAGGTGAGCTGGAGGCAACGTCTCAGCTGCGTGGCCTGTACAGCACTGAGAGTCCAGACCAGGTCCAGTGCATCGTCTACAGCCTGCACCACCTCCAGCTGCTGCAGAGGACCGGAGACCTGGTCCAGACCGTTCTAGCCCTGGAGACCCTGAGCCAGCTCCACCTCAGCCTGGGCACTCACAGGTACAAACACACACCTTCGTATTATGTCCTCTGTGTTTGTTCTGACTCACTGGACGAGGAGTCTGAGGAGCACAGGGACTGGCCTCCTGCTGGGATTCTGAGGAGCACAGGGACTGGCCTCCTGCTGGGATTCTGAGGAGCACAGGGACTGGCCTCCTGCTGGTTCCAGAGTAAGAACTAAACATGGGGAGGCAGTATTTAAGAATTACGCAGCTAAAGTCTGGAACAGTCTTCTTGAAAATGTGAGACAGGCTTTTTCACTGACAATTTTCAAATCCAGGTTAAAACAGTTTGATGGATTTCATTATTACTCTTTTTAACGTACTGCGATTTTATTATGCCTTGTGTGACTGTTTCTCGTGTTTTGATCAGCACTTTGAGTTGCCTTGTGTATGAATTGTGCCATTCAAATAAACTTGTCTCACCTTGATCCTCCTTCCAGAGCGCTCCAAGCCGCCCTGGACTTCACCAAGAGCAGCCTGGGCATGTGCATCGATCTGGGGATGAAGGAGAAGGAGGCGGACGGGTGGCTACAGGCCGGGAAGATCTACCACCTGCTGGGGCAGACGGAGCTGGTGGAGCTGTACATACAGGTCAGATCTAGTCTCTGGTCAGACTATAATAATAACTGGATAGGGTTTTACTAGCTTATAGCTGTCCCACCCATGGGCACAGGGGGCGCCCGTGGTACTGCAAACTAAATTCACGTGGGCTACCCAGAAAAAAGTCCCATAGAACTCAATGTGAACTAAAACAGCTCGAGCTCAGCTGACCGAGAACCTACAGCTTTCATAAAGGTCGGATTTTGTGGGGATTTTAGTGTCCCTTGTCATCCTGAACTTTTTTTCTTCTTAAATCCTTCGGTTTTCTTTAAATCCACACTTTACTGCTACAAACTCTGCTCCTTGCCTTCCCGCTCTGACGCCGCTCTACCACTGCTCTGATCAGCAGCGCTGATTGGTCAAAGCGCATCCGAGCCCCTCTGTGCACGTGCATGAGAGCCACACACGCGTTTTTGGCGCGACGCATCATGGGAGATAATCCACTGCGCAGAACCGGGAGGACCAGACGAGGCCCAAATACAGGCGAGTTCTGCCAATCTCCCGGTCTCCATGAAGTCCCTTGCGCTACTGAGCAAAAGCCATTCATTTGAATAGGGTGCCATCTTGGATCACCGGGGCTTGGGTCAGATCCCGTTTCTGGTCAGATCTCGTCTCTGTGTATTACATGCAGCTAGGACAGAGATAGAGTGGAATGGGTTATTATGTGGCCAAGTGCAGATTCTAAAGGACTATCCAAATTAAATACATTTTTGTTTTGAAATAATATTCTAATGTTGGATACTCTATTCTGGTTGCTTTTCTGGGGGAAAAAATACTATACTTATATTATTTTATAGAAAAAGAAAGCTGGCAAAATGCTGTGGACTAATTTACAGGTAAAAATGTTACTTATTATTACAAACTGCATTATGCTTTTTTATTTTCATTTTTTTTATGTGGTGGTTTGAGCCAAATACAGCAGAGGGCGCTCTCTCCCTGCCACGTATGATTTATGAAAAAAAATGAAATGAAAAAACATGGTTTTTACTGTTTGTTGGGTGCTTATAATAGATCCATGGTTGGGTGCTACTACTGCAAAAACACTACATGTATTGACATTTCCCAAACTTGTTGTTATGATTTTTCATCCACATGAATATACAGACAATGGCCTCTACACTATTTAAAAAAAAAAAAAAACAGTTCTCTTTAGCTGTGCATACAACTGAACAATTTTATCTTTACTCTTTTTAATGCACTGTGACTATTTATTTTAATCCCATGTGTGATTTTAATGTCTTATGGTTTTTAATTACTTGTGTGATTTCATTTTCTATGTTTTTAATTATTATTTTTTTGCAATTGTTGTATGTTTATGTATATTTTAATGTTTGTGATTTATGCCTGATGTGATATGGGCCGCGCTTTGTGTTGACTTGTGTTGAAAAGAGTCACTCAGCCAAAAGCATCACTACAGCAGTTAAAAGTTTAAAGAACATTATCTTTAAAATGAGGTACAACTGGCCATGGATATGCATCTCAACCCGATGGGAAGAAGTTGCAGACTACTACACAAAGTGACCAATGTTTGATAGTTCTCATTTTGATGTCTATGCTTTTACAGTCTATTTCTTTAATCTAATTTCATGAGATAGTGTTTTTTTACAAGCACCAATGCTGATATTTCTCACTTTGATGTCACACAGTCTTTCAGTTCATCATGTGCTGTGATTTACAATAAGCCACTACTTTTTTAGAGTTATTTAAATGTGTGTGTAGGATGTTGTTTAAATTTATGTATATCTTTATTTTGGTACAGTATCTCCCAAAGCGCAGGAAGCCTTTGGACACGCCTTAGATCCGTTGTCAGAACAGAGAAGAAGTTACGTGAATGTAATATTTCAGATTTATGGTTGTGTTTGTGCAGGCAGCTCAGGAGGTGGCTCTGAGCACCGGAAACACCAAGTCCGTCCTCGGTCTCCTGGAAGCAGCTGGGGACATCTTCTTCAACAGTGACCAGGACCGAGACAAGGCCATCCCCTTCTACAGGGTAAGACCACAGCACCACCACACTTCACAACACAGAATCACTCATAATAAAAGTTGTTTCGTGGACAGGACCGTGCTCTGCCCATCGCCACAAAGACCCAGAGTGTGCGGAGCAGACTGAGGCTCTGTAACAAACTGACGGAGCTGATGCTGAGGCTGAGCATGTTTGAGGAGGCGCTGGATTTCGCTCAGACCGCTCTGGACCTGAGCCTGTCTTTAGGTGAGCGAAGGTCTGCACGTGCTAGAGCCAAGTGTAATGTCCAGAGCAGGTTTTCATTCCAATCAAGCACAACAGACTCCTCCCATTTCCTCTCTCTCTCTTTCTCTCTGGTCTCCCTCTCTCTGGTCTTTCTCTCTGTGTGTGTGTGTCTCTCTCTCTGGTCTCTATCTCTCTCTTGTCTCCCTCCCTCTCTGGTCTCTCTCTCTCTGGTCTTTCTCTCTCTGGTCTCTCTCTCTTGTCTCCCTCCCTCTCTGGTCTCTCTCTCTTCTCTCTCTCTCTTGTCTCCCTCCCTCTCTGGTCTCCCTCTCTCTGGTCTCTGTCTCTCTCTGGTCTTTCTCTCTCTGGTCTCTCTCTCTTGTCTCCCTCCCTCTCTGGTCTCGCTCTCTTCTCTCTCTCTCTGGTCTCTCTCTCTCTCTGGTTTCTACCTCTGGTTTTTCTCTCTCTGGTCTCTCTCTTGTCTCCCTCCCTCTCTGGTCTCTCTCTCTTCTCCCTCTCTCTGGTCTTTCTCTCTCTTGTCTCTCTCCCTCTCTGGTCTCTCTCTCTCTCTGGTCTTTCTCTCTCTGGTCTCTCTCTCTTGTCTCCCTCCCTCTCTGGTCTCGCTCTCTTCTCTCTCTCTCTGGTCTCTCTCTCTCTCTGGTTTCTACCTCTGGTTTTTCTCTCTCTGGTCTCTCTCTTGTCTCCCTCCCTCTCTGGTCTCTCTCTCTTCTCCCTCTCTCTGGTCTTTCTCTCTCTTGTCTCTCTCCCTCTCTGGTCTCTCTCTCTGGTCTCTACCTCTGGTCTCTCTCTCTCTGGTCTCTCTCTCTGGTCTCTACCTCTGGTCTCTCTCTCTCTGGTCTCCCTCTCACTGGTCTCTCTCTCTCTCTCCCTCTAGTCTCTCTCTCTGGTCTCTCTTTCTCTGGTGTTTCTTTATCTCTGGTCTCTCTATGATCTCTCTTTCTCTGGTCTCCCTCTCTCTGGTCTCTCTCTCTGGTCTCTTTCTCTCTCTCTTTCTGGTCTCTCCCTCTGTGTTAGATCATAACAAGTCAACATTAAGCAATAACACGTAAGCAAACAATTGTCTATCATTAACCATCACAACTATTATAAATTACCGCTTATATATAAACAAAATCTACATTCTTTTATCAGTTCACTCCATGTGCGCGTCACACACATGGAGCCTAAAATAGTCCAGTGGGTATAATACATGTATGCTTTGTGCCAAGGCGAGCGTCTGAACCAGCGTGTGGCCTACCATCGTCTGGCCGCTCTGCACCACGCCCTGCAGCAGTCGGAGCTGGCCGAGCACTTCTACCTGAAGACCCTGGCCCTGTGCCCCAGCCCCCTGCACTTTGACGAGGAGACCCTGTACTACGTGAGGGTCTACCAGACTCTGGGCGACATCGTCTTTTATGACGTCAAGGTGGGACACAAGGAGGTCTCTATGCTCTCTTTCTCTCTGGTCTCTCCCTCTCTCTGGTTTCTCTCTCTCTCTCTCTGGTCTCTCTGGTTTCTCTCTCTCTGGTCTCTCTCTGGTCTCCCTCTCTACTGTCTCTCTCTCTCTCTGATCTCTCTCTCTGGTCCCTATCTCTGGTCTCTCTCTCTCTCTGGTCTCTCTATGGCTTTTCTCTCTCTCTCTGAGCTCTCTCTGGTCTCCCTCTCTCCTGTCTCTCTCTCTGATCTCTCCCTGTGGTCCCTATCTCTGGTCTTTCTCTGCGCTCTCTCTCTCTGGTCTCTCTCTGGGCCCTCTCTTTGGAATCTCTCTAGTTTCTCTCTCCTGGTCACTCTGTTTCTCTCTGGTCTCTCTCTCTAGTCTCTCTCTCTCTGCTCTCTCTCTTGTCTCTCTCTCTCTGTTCTCTCTCTACTTTCTCGCTCTCTCTCTCTAGTCTCTGTGGTCTTTCTCAGTTTGAAGAATACAGTTGTTGATTTGAAAGCTAAATGTTTTACAAAATAACCAGTAGTTACATGTAACAACAAAGATAAAAACATAGCGACATTATTTTGGCTTGTGACTGGTTATGATTAGCTCACATTGACAAAACATTAGCAAGAACGTGGTGAAAATTAACTATTTTGGATTACTCGTATTTTATGAATTGATTTTTATAGTGTAGGGGTGACAGTGGCTCAGTTGGTAGAGCATTGGCCTTTGAGCCTGAAGGTTGCGGGTTCGAGCCCACCACAAGACCTACTTCAAGACTCCCACTGATGGCTGCTGCCGTTGTGTCCTTGGGCAAGACACTTAACCCTGCTTTGCCTGAAGCCTCCGCTGAAAGATCTCAGCTCCTGTGGACCCCCTGCAGGAGGATCAGTGAGGGGCTGGTGCTCTGTGTACTGGGTGCAGCTCTGACTGCCATCCCCCCGACCCAGAAATGGATAAAGGGGAAGATAATGGATGGATGGATGGATGGATGGATTTTTATAGTACATTCTAGGACCTAATTCGACATGTGTGTTTTTGCTAGGACCCCTTCGATGCAGCGGGGTACTACCACGTGGCTCTGGCGGCCGCCGTGGATCTGGGCAATAAAAAGTCCCAGCTGAAGATCTGCACTCGCCTGGCCACCATCTACCACAACTTCCTGATGGACAGAGAGCGTTCGCTGCTCTTCTACCAGAGAGCGAGAGGCCTGGCCGCCGAGCTCAACGTGAAGCGAATCAACATCTCCATGGGGCATCAGCTGGGGCCCTCCTCCCAGGACGGGGGGCCCGCCTTCCAGGACAGGACACAAGCTCCGTGAGACCGCTTTACACCAGGACTTATGAATGATTACTGCCTTTGAGAGCTCTGCTAGAGATCATCCATTCAATTCAATGTATTTTTGTTCAGCTCTAAATCACAACAATAATCGCCTCTCCGGTTGTTGATTCACCAGCAAGAGATCAGAGAATCAAACCGTTTGTACACAGAAAATGCAATAATATCAGACACATATGAGCCATTGGTCCGTAGCGAGCAGGACGACAATCTCTATAAATATGAATTAATGTGAATAAATCTCCTTTTTCACTTGTGAACTGGTTATTTTTTGTGATTAAAATGAAAAATGGAGGCAGTAACTTCACATTGTGGTATATGGATTGAACTGGCCCAGAACCTCATGCTGTCATTGAATAGTTCACATAAATTGAAGAGAGGAAATATAGTCCGTGGTCCTGTAGTAATTACCATACAACTCGTTTTCACCTGCTCCAGGCAGGCGTTGCAGATTTGCAACAACTTCATTTCTTATTGCCTAACTACTCCACATCCATAATTTTGACCCTTTTTAACTCAGAAGTACCACTTTTGGATTTTATTGAGCTTTAGCAACACACTACTCACCAGGGGGCGCAGCTGTCTCACTTCCAAAATATCAGTCTCCTTGGTTTCACCTAAATCATTTTCAAGTCAGTATCGCCACCAACCTCTTATCATTTGAAAGATGAGATGAATATACAGTGCCTTGCGAAAGTATTCGGCCCCCTTGAACCTTTCAACATTTTGCCACATTCAGGTTTCAAACATAAAGATATAAAAAATTTATTTTTTGTCAAGAATCAAAAACAAGTGGGACACAATCGTGAAGTGGAACGAAATTTATTGGATAATTTAAACATTTTTAACAAACAAAAAACTGAAAAGTGGGGCGTGCAATATTATTCGGCCCCCTTGCGCTAATACTTTGTAGCGCCACCTTTTGCTGCAATTACAGCTGCAAGTCGCTTGGGGTATGTCTCTTATCAGCTTTGCACATCGAAAGACTGGAATTCTTGCCCATTCTTCCTTGCAAAACAGCTCGAGCTCAGTAAGGTTGGATGGAGAGCGTTTGTGAACAGCAGTCTTCAGCTCTTTCCACAGATTCTTGATTGGATTCAGGTCTGGACTTTGACTTGGCCATTCTAACACCTGGATACGTCTATTTGTGAACCATTCCATTGTAGATTTGGCTTTATGTTTTGGATCATTGTCCTGTTGGAAGATAAATCTCCGTCCCAGTCTCAGGTCTTTTGCAGACTCCAACAGGTTTTCTTCCAGAATTGTCCTGTATTTGGCTCCATCCATCTTCCCATCAATTTTAGCCATCTTCCCTGTCCCTGCTGAAGAAAAGCAGGCCCAAACCATGATGCTGCCACCACCATGTTTGACTGTGGGGATGGTGTGTTCAGGGTGATGAGCTGTGTTGCTTTTACGCCAAACATATCGTTTTGCATTGTGGCCAAAAAGTTCGATTTTGGTTTCATCTGACCAGAGCACCTTCTTCCACATGTTTGGTGTGTCTCCCAGGTGGCTTGTGGCAAACTTTAAACGAGACTTTTTATGGATATCTTTGAGAAATGGCTTTCTTCTTCTTCTTGCCACTCTTCCATAAAGGCCAGATTTGTGCAGTGCACGACTGATTGTTGTCCTATGGACAGACTCTCCCACCTCAGCTGTAGTTATCTGCAGTTCATCCAGAGTGATCATGGGCCTCTTGGCTGCATCTCTGATCAGTCTTCTCCTTGTTTGAGATGAAAGTTTGGAGGGACGGCCGGGTCTTGGTAGATTTGCAGTGGTCTGATACTCCTTCCATTTCAATATAACTGCTTGCACAGTGCTCCTTGAGATGTTTAAAGCTTGGGAAATCTTTTTGTATCCAAATCCGGCTTTAAACTTCTCCACAACAGTATCTCGGACCTGCCTGGTGTGTTCCTTTGTCTTCATGGTTCTCTCTGCGCTTTAAACAGAACCCTGAGACTATCAAAGAGCAGGTGCATTTATACAGAGACTTGATTACACACAGGTGCATTCTATTTATCATCATCAGTCATTTAGAACAACATTGGATCATTCAAAGATCCTCACTGAACTTCTGGAGTGAGTTTGCTGCACTGAAAGTAAAGGGGCCGAATAATATTGCACGCCCCACTTTTCAGTTTTTTATTTGTTAAAAAAGTTTAAATTATCCAATACATTTTGTTCCACTTCACGATTGTGTCCCACTTGTTGTTGATTCATGACAAAAAAATTAAATTTCATACCTTTATGTTTGAAGCCTGAAATGTGGCGAAATGTTGAAAGGTTCAAGGGGGCCGAATACTTTTGCAAGGCACTGTATAATATATATCAATTATATCTCCTCTGGGTTTTTCACAGGTCAGCTCATTTACCACAGCAGGCCAATGTTGCAAATCTGCAAAATCCCAGAATGCACTGCCTGTGAAGATCTCTCCAAAAAAAGTAATTGTATACTACCTCATATGATGACTCCCCCCAAATATCCGATTTTTCCTGTCATTCAAATTCAATTGGGCTCTGAGAGGGTTATTAGAAAATCAAAATCCCCTTAATTTGCTAATGGACTGGACTTGACTTGGATCTGTGGAGGTAAAGTAGCAAATCTCTTCAGCACATACTGTATGCCCGCTCTGCTTCGGTCTGCCTCAGTATTGCAGTCATAAGAGTTCGTAAAGGTATAATGGAGGAATAATGGGAGCAGATGTCTGAATATTCTCCGGAGAGGATGTAAATGTTAAATATTGTTCCAGGTGGGAGCGTATGGAGCTGATGTTGAACCCAGCGAGGTTTTTCCACCATGTGATTCATGTTGGGTTTGTTTACAGATCCAGACGTCACAACAGAATCTAAAAGAGAACCAAACCGCCCACCTGCTCATTATGAAATGATATGCTTTTGATGAGTTCAGTGGAGTCACATATACAAAAGATATTAGCGGGTTGGATAGGGTTGTTTCAGTATTTCAGGCTGGTTCAATCCAACTCCATGGGAAAGAAGCACTTTCAAACAAAAGAATTATTCCAACACACCATCTTTCTTGCAAAATAAAACTGTATTAGGAATGTAATGCCTGGTGATTACATATATTCAGATTTACTTTATATTTTGACTTATATTGAGAATGTTTGTTGTGTTTTGACAGTTTTCACTCTTCGTTCATGTGATTTATTGTGGAATGCTCTGTGAGTATGTGCTGACTGTGCACTCTGCCTACCCCGCCCCACTTTAGATGTCTTCCTGCTGCTCATCTCAGAGTTGCTTGATGAAGGCTTAACGCTGAAATGATGCATTCTCAATTCATTTTTTTTTTGCAAGTAATGTGCGTAGAAATAACCTCTCCTTCAACGCCGTTCTGAAGTAAATTATGTGCGACTTTTTATTCCTTAAAGAAGACATTTTAGAAACAAAAATCCAATGTTTGTTTCTTAAATAAAAGATCGGACAGAAACCTGCTAACGTCTTTACTCAACAGGTTCTATTACAAGTACACATATCAGTACTGACACCTGATGCAGTGTTATAATCATGGGGCCACATATGTTAGAGCAAAGACGTTTGTTACAACACAACAGTTTCCCAGATTAGATTCACAAACCTATTATATTTCTCATATTTCTAAAAGTCCAACTGGCGAACACTATACACATGTTATTTTTTTACATTGTCACCGCTTTCAGAAGTCTTTATGACAAAATAATGAGACCATGTTTTTTATTTCATGTGGATTGGCCCAATGATTAGAGAAATTATCTTGAAACTCAAACAAAAAATCAGACTTTTCACATTTACCATAGTGGGAAGAAAAATCAACCACAATGTCCCTCCACAATGTTAGACTAGACTCTTTGGAGTGTTGTGATGTCACATGAATGCACTTTTTTTTTTAAAGTGAGGATATAAAGTAAAATTACAAATCAAAATGTGTGTCTATAAGTTACCAAAGCCATAATCACCCAACAGCTAAATTAATCTACATTGTGTGTTTTAGATGTTCCATTATTCAGATCTGTAAGAATTGTAAACAGAATCAAATATTGCTCTATAGGGACTTTATAAAGGGAGATTAAAAAAACTGTACAAAATACATGTTGTCTTCATTTTCCATCATATTAGAACAGAGATTATGGCCGAGCGAAGAAATGTATACATATTTGAACATAAAACTCCTGCAAAAATGGTTATGTAACTTTTTGGACTGTTTTTTTCTTAAAATGCAAGGATTAAAAAGAATGCTGGACGGTTTTCCTGACCTCTGCTCCGTCAAAACTACATGTGGCATTCAAAAGTAACAGGAAACAGCTCCATAAATGTTTGTCTAAGTGCTGGCCATACCCTTCCATGAGCTGCAGACCCAGGTCCAAGCCTCGGCCCAGGTCTGAGTCACCTTTGTGGGCAGCAAGCACCCGGCTCTCTCCCTTCTCTTATGGATCCTCACATCTGGGTCCCACGGGTGCAGGGAGGGGCCTCGTTGTCCGAGTCCGAACGCACAAAAAAGAACATATTTCCTCCGTGAGCTCATGTTGAAGTCCAGAAATGATACTTTTTACAACACCACTTGTTTTTCACTTGAACCAGACAGTAAAAAGAAAAGTTTGCTTGTAATGTTAACAGAGCTCAGAGGGATTGGGTAATTGGACTGTGTGTGTGTCTGTGTATGCGTGTGCATGTGCATGTGTGTGTGTGTGGGTGTGTGTGTGTGTGTGTGCAGCATGTGACAAACAAATACACCCACATCTAGATGCAGATGTTATAGACTTTTTTATTATTCTATGACAAAGCATTAAAGAGGCCCAAACCTGTCAAAAATAATACATAAATGTCACATTCTGTCAATAATTATTAGGATAACACTACAAATTATGAGATTTAATAAATATATATTATCATTATACAATGTTTTTTGGTTCAAAATAGAAATAATAAAGCTCTACTCTTTTGTTCTGAACCAAAAAACGTTTTAGTATAAAAATATATTTATTAAATCTCATAATTTGTAGTGTTATCTTAGAAATTATTTTCCGATTGTTCAATAATGTATTATTTGTACAGTGTTGGGCCATAGCCTTCGGTGTAGAATAGATCGATGTTTGGTGGTGGTTGTGGAGGAGTCGTGTGGAGCAAAGGTCTCCATGGAGCATAACATCCATCACTGTCCTGAAGCAGAACACTATTTCTATCTTGGCTGTTAGAGCATTAGTTTTGCTTGGAGGAAACTAATGTAAACTGCTGTCCAGCTGCGGAGAGTGTGAGGCCACGGTCTGCCTGGATCCAACTGCCCTTACAGGGACAGCATGTGCCTCTGCTGTAGATGGATGACTTCATGTTTGGGAGAGAAGCAAAAACAAACTGAGCATGGACTGTTACACGCACTGACACACACACCCACACACGCACACACACACACACACATACATGCACACACATACACATATGTGTCTGAATGAGTTTGGATAAAGGACAAACACACACCTACATGCAGGATGCAGAGTGACCTCACCCTCCTTCAAAGTGACGCGACAAATAGAAATCAGATACATGTGTGTTTTCATGTGGCTTTTGTGACTTGGCTGTGGCTGCAGTGTTATAAAGGTGATAAATATGTGATATACAGTAGGTCCCCATGTGCTGCCTCTTATAGATCCATGGCTGCCCCACATCAAACCCCTCTGCTCTTGAGTTTGTTTGAACACATTCACATGGACAGTTCTTTCTGAGCCTCTGGGATAAGTATTTCCTGCCACAGGTGTTCTCAGTGGGGTCCCTCAAACTGTCAGGAAACGCATTCATATACTAATATTGTGGCCTTCACGAGTTATTGGCTGCTGTCAAAAAGAGGTCAGCATGTGGGTCAAAACCAGACATGTGGCTGACTTTATGTAATGTTTTTCTTGTTTCTGATTGTGAAGCGCTTTGTAATCCTGGTCCTTATTCATGTCCTGGTCTGTGAAAGGCACTGTACAAATACTTTACTTTACTTAGTACAGACCAAAAGTTTGGACACACCCACCCTTCTCAAGAGGTTTTATTTCTATGATCATGAAAATTGTAGATTCACACTGAAGGCCTCAAAACTATGAATTAACTCATGTGGAATTATGTACGTACCGAAAAAAAAAAAAATTCTGGGTTCCTCATAGTAGCACCTTTTGCTCTGATTACTGCTTCACACGCTCTTGGCATTCTCTTGATGAGCTTCTAGAGTTATTGACCTGAAATGGTCTTCCAACAGTCTTGAAGGAGTTCCCAGATATGCTTAGCACTTGTTGGCCTTTTCACCTTCACTCACTTTATGATTTTAATGCTTTCTTGTTTTGTTCAGCACTTTGAATTGCCTTGTGTATGAATTGTGCTATATAAATAAACTTTCCTTGCCTTGCCTTGCCACTCTGTGGTCCAGCTCACCCCAAAACTCTGGATTGGGTTCAGGTCCGGTGACTGGAGGCCGGGTCATCTGGCCCAGCACCCATGACTCTCCTTATTGGTCAAACAGCCCTTACACAACCTGGGTGTGAATCTACAGTCAATAGTCATGAAAAGAAAGGAAGCTCATTGAATGAGAAAGTGTGTCCAAACTTTTGGTCTGTACTGTAGCCTATGTGAGGCATATAGGTGTGCCATAAACATGTGAGGTGATTGTCTGGTTTCAATGTACAGAGTGCACGTGTTCTATAGTGACCATGAGACTTTGGAGACGTAGCGTTGTGATAAATGAAATGAAAACAATGGGATAAAGCAGAGTAAGTACTTAATCTACAGGGCGCACTGGCGGTGAGGTAAGCCGTGTTCACAGTTTCTTGTGGATGTGGTGGTTTTAGGAGACACGTGATCAGGCAGTGTGAGGTCAGACTCGGTGAGGGCGGCCCGCCTCCTGCCTCTGCCTCTGCCTCTGCACTGACCTGCGCTGCGCTCTCCTCCTCCTCTGCAGAGAGGCTCTGGAGACTCCTGCGCACACTGCCTCCACTGCTCTCTCCTTGAAGCCTGTAGTTATAAACTTAGTGCACGCTACAAGTCCTTCTCAGGGTCCAGTTACTTGATGAACGTCTCTCCCACAGACTGACGTTTGACTGACGGCGATGATCGCGGCAGAGCTGTGTCTGTGAAGCGCTGCGTGTGTCTGTGTTCTTCTTCCAAGATGCATGTCTTTGTGTTGGCGGTGGTTCTTTACCTCAGAAGCAGCGGCTGCGGCGCGGAGCCCAGAGCCAAGTGTCCCTCACGCTGTGACGTGAGCAGCTGTCCGAGCCCCAGCTGCCCCGGAGGCTACGTGCCTGACCGCTGCCACTGCTGCCTGGTGTGCGCGCACACGGAGGGAGAGTCGTGCGGCCGCAAGGATGACCTGCCGTGCGGAGAGGGGCTGGAGTGCAGGCACCCGTCCGGGAAGCGCCTCTCTAAAGGCGTGTGTCAGTGCAAGCTCAACTACGAGGTGTGCGCCACTGACGGCAAGACGTACGGCAACGTGTGCCAGATGAAGATGGCGAGCAAGAGCGCGCAGCAGCAGGGGGCCCCGTCCATCAGTCTGCTGCAGAAGGGGCCGTGCGTGTCCGCCACAGGTACGAGAGCTGTACACAAGCACCAAAAGCACCAAAAGCACCACAAGCACCACGGGCACACGTTACTCACTTCTGCACTGACGTCCTCACAGGGCCGTCCAGGACCGGGATGCAAGAGTTCAGTGTGTCACTGGGTCATGGGAGATGGGCCGCTTTTAGAGCACTTTTTTCAATATCAAAGCAAAAGAAATGCCTTCCCTTGTTTAACTCAGTATTTAATCACACACTCATTTAGTACATCACACAGTTTGGTTGTTTAAGAAGCTCCATCTTGTCTTCTTAGTAGATTAAAGTTATTTGTTTCTTACACCAGACTAAGATAGTGATGTTATTACCTTGACATGATTCTGCGGAAGTGCCATAATAACATGTCAAGATAACACCACTATCTTACATGTGTCTGGTGTAGAAGAAGCCCATAACCTTATCTAGTTTGATTGTTCTCACTGTTTCCTCAGAACAGAATTGATTACACTTTATTTGAGAGACCTTTGTTTTGGCTCTTTCTGCTTTTATAAGAATACTTTAAATATCTAAAAGCCCTTGTTGCCAGTGTCTTCATGTTAAGCACCAGCAGGATTACACCAAAGTAACTGGCAACCTAAAACACAGACTCATGTGATACTGATGCGGATGTAGCATGGTCTTACCACTCCACCGTACTAATTTCATTTCAAATTGACTGGAGTTTACGGAGAGCTAAGGCCAAGCTAATGCGAATATTGCCTGGGAACCTGAATAAATCAACATACATGGGTTACGCAGTGATTAGCACTATCAATTCTCAGCATGACGGTCCTGGGTTTGAATCCCAGTCGGAACAGGGTCTTTCTAAGAGGAGTTTGCATGTTCTTCCCATGTCTGCATTGCACGATGAGTCAAATGGCCCTACAGCACATGTGTCAAAGTCAAGGCCCGCGGGCCAAATCCGGCCCACGAATGAATTTTATTCATGCGTCAATGGCAGGCCCGTTGCCTGCCATTGACGCACTATTACGTCAATTGCGTTTTCCGCTATTTTCATGTTCCCAGATGTCTATTATATCTAATATGTTTGGGGATAAGCTTGAGAGCATATTGAATTGAGCCAGCAGGTGGCAGCAGCGCTCTCTGAATGGTTTGAAAACAGCTAGATGCACTTGTTGTGCCTCTTTTTTCTCAGCTTTTTGGTGATTTCAGTAAAACTTCCCTCTACTCAACTGGGGATTACAAGCTAGAAACAAAATTATTTTTGCTGATGAAAGTAGACAGTCTATTCTTTCAGAATCTGGTTTCGGATTTCAGATAGTGATAGTACACAATATTCTGTGGGTCCTGAAAAATCTATAAAAATCATCAGAAACTGCTGGCAATATGGGAGTACCTGTTCTGAAATAGGCTGGCAGGCAATGAGTTAATAAACATTGAACCAGTCCGGCCCTCGGCTCGCAGCAAATTTGTTTTTTTGGCCCTCTGATGTATTTGACTTTGACATGCCTGCCCTACAGGGATAGGTGCAGTGTACCTTATCCTAAATACACAATGTGGCCATCAGATTCAGATTCAGAATCAGTCAGATTCAGTTTATTTGCTATTTGCAGTAAAAACACCACATTGGAATACATTAGTAAAAAGTCTCCAGTGTGCACAGACAAATACAGACATAAAACAACATTAAAAGACAAAAATAAAACAAATAAAACAGTAAACAAATGTCACTGTTAAATCGATCGACTAAAACAGTTTCAAAACAAGTGCAAATCATTAAAGTGCTCTGTTCACACTGATAACAGCTTGTGGATAAAAACTGTTAGCGTAACGAGATGTCCTGCATCTCAGAGAGCGATATCTTCTGCCAGAGGGAAGAAGCTGGAACATGGCTTTCCCAGGGTGGCCAGAAGAGTCATTAACAATATATAATTATTATTAAATAATTATATAAAAATAAATATATTAATTATAAAGAACCTCCAGAACAGGAAGCTCACAGCCCACGGTCCTCTTTGCAGAGCGGAGCACCTTGTTTAAAGCTCTCTTTTCTTTATCTGTGATGTTTCCAAACCACACAGACACAGAACCAACAAGTAAACTCTCAATGGTGCAGCGATAAAAGTTAAGCAGAATCTTAGATCTAATCATAGAGTTAGTGGTAAATTCTCTAAGTTTACGCAGAAAGTAGAGACGCTGACGAGCTTTCTTAACGACTCGGTCAGTGTTTTTAACCCATTTCAGGTTAGACAGAGTTAAACCCAGAAACTTGCACTCCTCTACGATCTGCACCTGGGAGTTGTCGATTACGACAGGCAAATGAGAACTATTGCGACTGGAGTCGTAGACCAGTTCACATATTTTCGATGCGTTCAACTGGAGGTTGTTAGTTTTACTCCACTGAACCACATTTTGTATCTCTGCTCTATAAGAGGATTCATCATTGTTACTGATGAGACCGATGATGGTGGTGTCATCAGCATATTTAATGATCAAGTTTGAGTCAGAGGAGGACACACAATCGTGAGTGTACAAAGTGAAGAGCAGAGGACTCAAAATACATCCCTGAGGAGAACCAGTGCTCACAGAAACAACATCAGAAAAATAGTCATTGATTTTCACTCTCTGAGATCTGTCAGTTAAAAATCTAAAAATCCTTTTATCACGTCTATTGTCTTTCTAATTAAGACTAAAAGGCCAGTTTTGTATATTTTGTTCTCATACACGTATCAAAGATGGATCTGAAATTGCAAGTTTGTGAATGATCAAACCCCAGGAAAGTGATGCTAAATGGTGGTGTTTACAGAGCGAGCACCTGCAGCCGTTCGCTCCCCACAGTCTGAATTCCAAGCCTCTCGCTTGGCCTCTTTGTCGCAGGTGTCCAGTAAAGTCCAGGCCACTGCAGCAGCTCATTATGTGGATCCTGCGAAGCTCTGATGTCAGCAGCTGCTCCGATTTACTCTGTTGTTTGTGCAGAGGTTCAAACAGACCTCTCTGAAAGCAGATGGAGATCCAGGGCACATGTGTTCAAAGGAGGCTAGAGTCACGGGGCAAGAGGCAAGAAGTGGTCACTGTCCTTTAGAACTAGCAGTATGAATAATGTGGTGTTAAAGCTGGGGTGCGTAACTTTCCAATCACAAAAATAATGGTGTAATATAGGGCTGAAACAACTAATCGATTAATCGACGACTAATCGATTATTGAAATAGTCGACAACTATTTTAGTAATCGATTAATCGTTTTCTGGTTCACACAGACTCAAACAGAGCCAAAATGACATGAAAATGTAGTATTTTTGATTAAAACTGACTTTGTTTTTATAATTTCATGAATATCTGTCTGTCTCATCCAATCAGATAGCAGAATTAGCACAAAGAGCCTGTTAAAACATTTACTTTAAGTTTACACGTCCTCGAGTGTTGCCACTTTAGCTTTTTGTGATGAAAAAATATTTTTTTTCTACACAATTCACAGCCAAGCGATTACTCGATTAATCGTAAAAATAATCAATAGATTAATCGATTACAAAATAATCGTTAGTTGCAGCTCTAGTGTAATAAAATGCATTTGCAATCAGTTCCTATAGCTCTTAAAACAACACTTTATATCATTTTTTACATACATATATTTCAGCCCAACGCCTCAAGAAGAGAGGTGAATACTAAAGACTAGGGTGTAAGGCTTTCGTTTTCTGTTCGAACAAAAAAAAGTGTTATTTATGGTTTATTTTTAAAGTTAGGTACACCAGATTAAATGTCTGGTTTATGTTGGGCCCAAATATAATTAGGCACAAGTTCTTATAACAGTGTGACATCATTCCAGCTGTAATGTTGCAAAAACAGCTCTGTCGAGTTGCATTCAAAACAAAAAATAAGACGTAAGAGAAGTTGCGGTGTTAAATTATCTATATGTTTGTTATAAGGCCTCCAAGGGTCTCCAAACTTTCCCTTGGAGAGCTACTTTTTTTGGTAGAGAGCTACTTCTTTTAGACAGTGGACAAAATGTTGTACTACAAAGGATTAAGTAGTTTTTACCTCAATTTGAAAACATTTTTACATTCAGAAAGAAGGGCCTGGGTTTGAATCCCGGTCGGACCAGGGCCTTTCTGAGTGGAGTTTGCATGTTCTCCCCGTGTCTGTGTAGGTTTCCTCCGGGTACTCCGGTTTCCCCTACCACTAAAAACATGTACAATAGGTCTGGCATGCGCCTCCTGTACTGGCGACCCTGCTCCCATCTCTGTGTGGAGTAAGAGACAAATGACCCAAAAAAATAACAATTGTAAACCGCTTTATGACTCTGGTCTGTGAAAGGCGCTCTATAAATAAAGATTACTTACCTATTTCCAGCCAAGAAATAGAAAATGTATACCGTGTTCAACTGGCAAACCTTTTCAATCTAATCCAAATGTGGGTCATTTCCAACTTTTTTGGCATTTTTGTTGCATCATGTAAAGAAAAGAATCAAGTTTATGCTTACTTATAGAATTATCCTTTGGGGAGCTACTATGAAGAGGGCGGCGAGCTACTAGTAACTCCTGCGCAATAGGTTGGAGACCCATGTTTTAAAGGAACGAAATCCATGGACCTGTACAATGTAGAAGAAAATAGAATAGAAAAGAATGGAGTAAATACGAATACTGCCTTTAGAAATGCAGCGTAGACAATAATCTAGTCTGAAGGTCTGCCATTTTTTACACTTTCCCGTCTATTAGAAATCACAGGCTCCAAAACATCACCTGTGTTTAGCTGCTCTGCCACGGCTCGGGCTTTACTGGCGTCTGCAAAAGTGGAACAGTTTAGAAGTGTTTATCCAGACGTGCAGCCGGAGCGGGTCATTCCGGTGCACGCCGCGAGTCACTGATGTGGGAGCTGCAGGACGAGACCGCAGTCGACTAATTCAAGGATAATTTACAGATTTAAGATTGAGAGATTCTTTTCATTTGTGTTGCATCGCCGGTTACAGAACAGCCGGAATGAGGAGCATTTATCTTGTGTTGTACAAGATAAATGAAGAATAACTCCATGCTAAAATAAAATAAAATAAAATCTCTAGCTTTAGCGTAATAAAGAAACAAATCTAAAATCTCCAGTACTGCAAAAAAGGATCATGACAAACTAAGTCATAGCGTGAAAATGGCTTGAAAGAAACAGAGGGAGGCGATCGGGGCAAGAACTTCCTGTGTGGAGGGGTATTCCATAGAGACACAAGCTATATCCTTTCACAGAGAAGAAATAAAGTCAACTATAGCCCTATATAAAACTGATGCATCATTATTATTAGTAGTAGTAGTAGTAGTAGTAGTAGAGCTTTTTTATCATTAGATCAAATCTCTCCAAAAGCGCCTTGTCGCCCACTCCTATGATTATATGGTGAACAGAAGAGGCAGAGAGCTACTCCTTTTTTCATTCATAATAAAAATCAATGTAAATCTATATAAATTATGACAAAAAGTGGAAAACACATAGAAAATGTACAGTACCATAATACTGTCTAACCCTATATTTATACCTATAATAGATATGACTCAAAAGTGAATTATTCAAGATCATGTGTTCAATTCTAAATCCTTTGGGGAGCTACCTGAAAGAGGCTGGCGAGCTACTGGCAGGTCCCGAGCTACAGGTTAGAGACCCCTGTTATACAGTTATAAACATCTTTGATATATGGTTTTCATTTTCACTTATAAATAAAAAAGTAACTATCTAAGAAAGAAATTCAGACAGTTTTGAAAATCCAGATAATCTAGAAGACATTTTCTCAACACAATCCTCAATAAACCTAATATTTTCCCCGTTCGTCCCTGTGGCGCCGATACTCAGCCTAATCACAGTGGACAAGACGATTTGCCACAACAAATTTGGGAGGAGGCATTTGTGGGTCAGTCTGCCGTGTATTTTTACCCTCTTTAGCCCCACCCTGAGGAAGGACACGCTCCACTGGGCACCCGCACCAGCACCAGCCGCCATTACTGGGCAAAATAAAAGGGTTTTGTGTTCAAAGGGTAAATAGTGAAGGCCAGTGGGACTTCCTGTTTCCTCTGCAGATAAGTGTGGACATGTGTGGACGGTGTGGGGATGGGGGACTGCAGCCTTCGGTCTGGGAGATCCATCAAACTGCTCCCACTGATCAGAGAAGGAGTCGTGAGAACCACAGGCACAGATGTTTAGTAGATGGATCCTTCTGTCAGAAGTGAGAGAGACGAGGGTTGTGTAGCGGAGAAGAAACAACACAAGATCACTTTTGCTGCCTCTTGTCCAGGAGGTTTTTAGTGACAATGAAACCTTTAAGAAAAAGATCAATAGATCCTTTGTTGGTCCCACGGTGGGGAAATGTCAGTGTTGCATCGCAGGTTACAGACAGTGTGAATGAAGAGCACACAGCCCAAGATTAATTAATAATAATTATATACTAAAATAAAATACAATACTATCTCTAGCTTTAGCTTAATAGAGAAGCAAACAAAAATCTCCAATCTCAGCATAATCAAGAAGCAAGTATTAAGTATAAAGTGTAAGTACATTTACCACAGTTTGAGAAACACTACAAAATATAAAGAATTTCGGAAACGTTAAACCTTGAAAATTGTCTTGATAGAATTGGACACTGTATGGTTTTTGTACAGTTGTGTAGTATTTCTGCTTTCTGAGAACACTATCTGAAGAGCCCACCAGACTTCGCACTGAAATTCCCTGTTATTTGAGATATTTTAAGGCAAAAATAACAAACCACATTTTCCTCAAGATGTTTGGCTGAGAACCCGAAGCAGAAGCCTCAGAGATGGCTTCAAAGACATTATTATTACAGGCTTTACGAGTTTTTTCGTTTTCCATTTTGACTGGCACGTCCCTGACCTTGTCTCCTCTCTGATGTGGCCGTATTCTGATAATCACACATCTAAGGGGTTCCACAGGGGTCAATATTCGCTCCACTAAAGTTTTCACTAAAATAAGCTAAAACGCAAAAGTTTTACATAGATTTGATCACATCCCCAGCCTTTTCCAAAATTTGAAAAGGAGAGAGCCATCATGTGATCAGCTCTCAGCCCAAAGTGTCAAATAGTGACTTACAGGGCTCTTTCTTACGAGTATGCAAAAGATCAAATGTTTTTTAGTAAGACAGACAGCACTTTGTGGCCTTTCTGTGAGGACAAACAAAAAGTATTATTTATGAGAAAAAAGTTACATACCCCAGCTTTACGGTCTGCATTTCTTACACATTTTTTTCTCCTAATCATTAACATAATCAAGTCTTAAACCCATGAGATTTGGTGAAACGTTTATGTTATAAAACTATTGCTTTGTTTGGTTCTCATCCCAACTTATGGCTGCCTTATGTTAGCGCTGCAGGAGGATTGTTGTTGGCAGAACCTTCTGTTTCTTTACATCAAAGTCACTTATTTTTCACCTGCTTTCACATAGTTATTGTATTTTCATATCCCTATTTGCCCCATACAGCTGTTTAAAACCTCTTTTCATTTATGTCATAAAGCATGATGAGTTGTTTTAATGTGAGAGTTGCTAAAACACATTATTCTTTCTGCCAGTATAGGTCCCACTCATGTGGCCAGTCCTCGCTACAAGTTCAACTTTATTGCCGACGTTGTGGAGAAGATCGCTCCGGCGGTGGTTCACATAGAGCTCTTTCTGAAGTAAGTCCTGTCCCTGCATCAATACAAGAAGGCAAGTTGATTTGTCTGGCACAGTTCATACACAAGGCAACTCAAGAAAAGATAGAAACAAACATACAGGGCATTAAATAATCACAGTACAACAACAATGACAACAACTTATTCTTGTATAGCCCTAAATCAGAAGTAATCTCAGAGGACTTAACAAAACCATTGAAATCACCAACACAGATCAGAGAATCAACAGTTAAGACACAAAATATACACATATGAATTGGTCCATAGGGAGAGACCAATGTCCATGAATGTTGATAAATGTCCATCCATGCTGTAGAATGTTAAAGTGTCCTGCATCATCACCACAGTCCTTCTAGTTGGACGCTAACTGTCCAACAGACTCTCCTGCATCGACAAGGAAAAACTCACAAACACCCAGTGGGGAAAAAAGTGAGAAACCTTGGGGAGACCCACATTTGAGAAAGGGATCCGCTCCGACACGGACGGACGGGCTAATGATCCAGGACCTACGCTACAGTACGAGGACCAATGCCACGCAGCGGCCGCAGAGCGTGGACAGGTCCAGTGCAGGACTGAAGTGATCCCAGGCGGGTCAGCAGGGCAATCCGCAGGTGTAGATGGATAGGGCCAGTTCAGAGGTCCCGTTGTCGCGCCATGAAACAGACAGTAGGACAACGGGTGAATAGCAATTAACACTCTTCTGTACATTGAAAAGAGTGAAGATACACAGACAAAACATGGGTATTATTAGAATCGTATATTGGTTGGCAAGTAATCTGACTACATAAATTACACGTATGACTCTGAGGACAATATTTTCAAGATTACATTTATTGTTGGTGCTTAGACCCCGGCAGAGCACTGCACGATTACAGAAGGGGAAAGAGATTAGGAGATGAAATCCCTCGGGGCCAAGACCCTGGTGGTGGCAGCTTGGAGAAGGATGAAAGAGCTGGGACCCGGAACGAGGCGGAAATGGGGAGGAGGAGGGTTGTGGCGTGAATGAATCTGCTGCTTGATGGAGCTTCTGTGCAGTATGAAGCTTGATGCGAGGATTGCATGTGCCGTGAAGCAGCAGTGGGAGGACTTTGAGCGCTCAGTTCTTCCTGTCTTCCAGTCTGAATTTCCGCTTTAGCTTCATCACTTCATGGATGTTGGTGCGAGGCCATGGAGACACTTTTACTCATTTAGCACATTTCATACAAGAAACTACCAACTCAATGCGCTTCACAACACAAAGACCACATCACATCATTGCAGTGTTTTCATTTGCAGGTACATCATTTTCAGACGTTTAAACACTTGACCCATGTCGTTTGCAGTCCCAGCCACTGTTGCAGCGTGACTTTGGGATCAGTGGAAAACTTCAGTTCTCACCACTCTCTACACCCCATAACCTCGGTGCTCAACAAGAGTGTTATTCCAAGCCCAGTCTGTCCAGTCAGCTCCATGTGCAGTGCTTTTGTTTCTCAGCCAGAATGTTACCAGCTATTGTTTTTCCAGACACCCTCTGTTTGGACGGACCATCCCTCTGGCCAGCGGCTCAGGCTTTGTGATGTCTGAAAACGGGCTGATCGTCACCAACGCCCACGTAGTGTCCAGCGCCGCTCAAGTCTCCGGTCAGCAGCATTTAAAGGTACTGAGTATGACCTTACCACATGACGGAAGAAACTTGAAGTGCACTGGTATGAGTCTTGTTAAGGGCTTATACTCTTTGTGTGTCATTAAAATACTTTGCCCTTTTCAGAAAAATTCCACCATTTGTCATAAAAATATATCAATTAATTATTTATTTAATTATAACCATTACTATTCACTCCTTTTTGATTTTTTGATTTTTTAAGATAACACAAATAATTGGTTTTTAAGTTGTTTTTTTTTTTTTTTCTTAAATTATGGGCCTTTACCAAATGGTTGAGATGTCGTTTGATGGTAAAAAATGCCTAAAACCAAGTAAGATGCCCCAAAGAGGTATATTTCAGTTCCGAGCATGCTGAAAATAGATATATTGACTCAAAATGGTGAACTACCAAATAGTTTGAAACCATTAAAGGGTTAAGGAGATTTTTGTCACACAGCAAAAAAGGATGACCCAAAAACCTGGACCGCAAAAATAAGTATTTAATCAAATCAAATACAAAATCAAAATCCAGCGTAAAAGTCGTATAAAAGGATCCAAACTGGGTACAAGGACAAGACGTGGAAATGACGATGACGGAACCGGGAGACACAGGTGAAATACATGAGGGCGGGACAGGAAGTGGAACTAAGGAAGACACAGGAGTTACAAGTTCAAAATAAAACAGGAAATACACCAAAACCATGATAATTATATTCAGAAAATATACTTTGTTTTTATTCTAATTTGTCAAATATCCAAACAAAAGGTTTCTCCCACGAAGAAGAATAACCAGCCACTTAAATGATTCTTGAAAAACAGAAGTATAAAACTCACTCTGAAATGTGGTCTGTGGAGATAGATCCGTGTTATGGAATCTCACAGCTTTAGTGAATCTCAGTTCATTCACTACGGAGGCTTTAAAGTCAACAAAAACAAAACAAGATACACCTATCAGGATTCAAGATAACAACGGACTTATCGTCTGGGAGCAGGATTCACTCTGAGCCATAATATTATGTTGTGGGATCTAAACACTGTCTTTTGTACGCACAAGAGATATAAGTATGTAAATGCTCTGGGGGCGGGTGTCGGGGCGGCGGCTTTTGGTACTTTTGTGGAGAGAGATTTTACTAATGCAAGCACCGGTCAGACCTCGCTCACCTCTTTCATTTTGATCTTAACTGTCGGACGAGCTCTCTCCCCATTGGTCGAGTCAATCTCACTAGTTGTTGTGTCAGAGAGAGGGATTCTGTCAAATGTAGAATGTAGATCTCACTGCTGATCCATACAGTAGCTACACAGACACATTTGGAACTGACAACTTTAAGTTTTTCTTTGTGTTCATTCAAATCTACCACAATTTAAAAGCATATTTTGCTTTTAGTTAGTATTCCATGAATGTGTCATGCAACTGAAGATTTACATAACGGTTAAAAATCTCTTTTATGTGTCTTGTTTTTTGTGTACTCTGTCTTTCACACTCTGTCTTTTCATTCTTTTCATGAAAATGCATAGTTGTACAAGTTTCAAGTAACATGGTTTTTTTTACGTGTACAGTACTTTGTCTGTGCTTCTTCTTGTCGTGCACTGTTACTTCTGTGGCATAAGTCTCTTTTATGCATCCGCTCATTTGCCGTTTGGACAAAGCAAAATGAAAGATACAAGAAATGTCCCCACTTGGAAAGCTATAAATATAGAAACAGTTCTTGAATTAAAACTTAATGGCTTTGTCCCATTGGAAAATATTGTCTTAACACAGTCAGAATGTGCTCAAATTAAGATAAAAAACACTTGATTGAATTTATTACCTCATATTTTATCTTTTTCTGTTACTGTTTCTTCTGTGCCATGGCCGAGCTCCAGACTGTGAGGTGAGAACATGCTACAAAGTCATATTCTCCTGGTAGAAAGAAAGCAGAAAGAAAAAAATGCTAATCTCCACCCTCTGTAATGGCGTGTTGCGACAGACTCTTTCTTCCTTCTCTGACCTCACCATATTCTCAGTAGTCCCGACATTTGTCCTTTCAGCTCTGAGTGATGTCATTCCTGCAGTAAAACCAAACTGACGACGGCCTGTGCTCTGTTCCCCGTAGGTGCAAATGCAAAACGGAGACATATTTGAAGCCACCATTAAAGACATAGACAAGAAGTCGGACATCGCCACCATCAAAATCAACCCGCAGGTGAGACGGGGCCCTCAGCCAAAAAAGACCACTATCGCCCACTTACTTATTTTTACGCAGAGCGAGACAGGGTTTAGGAAAAGCTGTAAATTCTTGTCTAATGCTGTTGTAACTGGCCAATAAAGTTCACCGCGAATCAAGGAATGCATAAAAACAAACAGAATTAGCAGTTTGCAATTAGCAGCGTAAAGCAGTCCACACGAAAATCAACAATGTCAAGAGAATGGAAAAATGTAAAACGCTTCTTAATCTATGTGTCTTTCCGATGTTTCTCTTTTGGCGTCCGAGGAGTTCACAATGAGAATTTATACTGGCCAAAAATGCACTAAAAGGTTCCGTCAAGATTATTTATACCTTCTGAGTTGTGTGAACTAAAAAAAAAGACATGAAAACCAGAGATAGAACCGAACCAGACTACTTTGTTTGTGAGTTAGGTCCCTCAGCTTTAGTCCGTTTACATTTGAGGGAAAACCAGACGAAGACGTGTCTCTGAACCAATTTGAGTTTTTCAAGTTTGTTCTGCTCTATTGAAATGTAATAATAATACTAATAATTATAATAAGGTGCTATAAAAGTAGTTTATAAAGTGCTTCATAACAATTTAAGGCAATAAATATCATTAATAAAACATATAGAGAATACTATATACAACCAGGGGAAAATACATACATATTTTAATAATAATAATGCATCGGTTTATATAGCGCTTTTTATGTCATTATTCATTCCCTCCATTCACGGTGGTGATGAACTACTACTGTAGCCACAGCTGCCCTGGGGCACACTGACAGAAGCGAGGCAACCAGTCTGTGCCATCAGCCCCTCCGACCACCACCAACCATTCACACACACACCAGACTCATTCTAGGTATCAGGTGTTCCCAGAGGTTAAGTGTCTTGCCAAGGACACAACGACAGCAGACATCAGTGGGATTCGTTGGAGAAAGTCTTGCTTGAAACCACGACCTTCTGGCTCAAAGGCCAATGCTCTACCAACTGAGCCACTGTCGCACCCTGCTAATAATAATAGTAATAATAATAATAATAATGATAAAAATAGATGCTGATGGGACTAGTCATATCTCCACAAAGGAGCCCGGACCGAAAAGACTTCATCTGCCATTTGCAGTAAAACCTTATTGGAATACATGTGCAAAAGTCCTCGAAAATAATGATAAATAATTGATAATAATCTATACCAATCGAAATCCAAAACAGTATAAATAAATAACAAGTGCAAGATCATGATAGTACTTTGTTCAGACTGAAGCTGTTTTATCCAGATGTCCTGCGTCTCAGCGATCGATATCTTCTGCCAGAGGGAAGAAGCTGGAACATTGCTTTTCCAGGCCTCGATTCTCATTAACCCCAGAACCTCAACCCTGGAGCCACTAACATGGACCTGTACATCATATTTTGTATCTTTACAATTGGAATAACTCCTGAAATGGTTCCACGGGACTCATAAACCCATCAATATGATTAAGGAGCAAGAAATAAAACGTAGGTCGAGTTTCAAATACCAGGATCTTCGCAGACCTAAACCATTCACTATTTTAACAGTGAATGGTTTAACAGCTATTTCAAAAGCATTATTTTTCAGTGTCACGGATTTCCAATGAAAACCAGGTTTGCAAGAGAAAAAGTCTATTCCCCAAACAAATCTGTAACAATGAGACACTCCCCAAAGCGAAAACAAATGTAGATCAGATATGAGTGAAGACACGTCACTGCTTCTAAATCAGAAACACATTGATCGTCTTTCCTCCAGCGCGGTCGGAGAGATTCGCACATTCACACTGTTGGATAAAAACAACAGTGGGGCGGTTGGGGGGGGGCGACCTGGAGCTGACCGTGGCCTGGTTTGGACCTCAGACTGGGGCCAGGACAAAGAGCAGAGCAGGGAGGAGGGTCCACTCTCTGCTGCATTTGGAGATAGTCAGGACACTCCCTAGTTCTAAAAAATGTCTCTCTCTGAGCGAGACCAACGCACTCAGTATAAACTTGGATTATTGCCGACTTGTAAACATTGGGCACTTATCATTGTGATTTTAAACTGGTTCGTTTCAAGTTTCGTAAACACATGCCCCAATAGAAAGAGTCTTGTTTAAAACATTATGCCTTAATGAATGCTTTTCAAGACTTGAAATTTACAAGCTGCAAACACAGCGATGTGATTGGAAAAAAACGAATTACACTTGATGGATAGTTATTTTATAGGCAATAATTTTCCCTGGGGAGGTGTTCCGGGCACGTCCCACCGGGAGGAGGCCCCGCGGAAGACCTAGGACACGCTGGAGGGACTATGTCTCTCAGCTGGCCTGGGAACGCCTTGGGGTCCCCCCGGACGAGCTGGAGGAAGTGTGTGTGGATAGGGAAGTCTGGGCGTCTCTGCTTAGACTGCTGCCCCCGCGACCCGGCAACGGATAAAACGGAAGAAAATGGATGGATGGATGGCATTTTGAGATTAATTTATTTCTATTTTTAAAAGGCATACATGTCATTGAGTGTGATGTTATGTCATTGGAAACTCATGCTAGGATCTATAATATTATTCATCTTTATTTTGGACTTATTCAATAGGTCCATGTCACATCGAGGACGCTGAGGCACACTGATATATTATTATTATTATTAATCGACAACAACGTTAAGTACTGTAGCTTTAAGTGACTCGTGGACACATCCTAGGACAGTGGTGGTTTTACATCCACAAATATCATTATTTTTATCCCACTTGAACCAGAATCGGTCCAGTTTAAATTAGGGATGCACTGATCCAATACTGGTATCGATATCGGCGCCGATACCAGAAAAAATACTGGATCGGATATCGGCATAGAGATCAATTTTTATTTTTATTTTTCATACAAACATACGAGGTGCAGCACAATTTCTTAAAATAAATTGTGCATAACATACGTATAAAGTAAGTAATACGTAAAATAAAGTAATTTATCAGATCTCACGCGCACCCGTCACTTCCTCATGACGCTTAGCAACAACGACCAAGCATGGAGCGCAGGAAGGAATCAGCTGTGCGGCGTACTACCTTCATCAACGAGTCAGACAACCTCATGCAATATATGCAAATGTCATGTTTGAGAGGAGCGATAACTACGCACCAGCGAAAGGAGGTGACGCGAAAACAACGAGACACAGATGACACTGGGGGATGCTTTGCAGCTTCATAAAAAGCTGAAAGGGTCGGAGTTCATCGTTTTGGGCTTGCAGCCGCCATCTATTATTGAATACTATGGCTTTCTCAACCTGCTTCCAGTATCGGTAAATATCGGTATTGGCAGATACCCATAGGTCTGATATCGGTATTGGTATTGGTAGTAAAAAAGCTGGATCGGTGCATCCCTGGTTTAAATGAACCAGCCCAACCAGTGTGAATGAAGAGTTGTTTAGTTGTTTATCTTTTTAGGTTTGTCTGTGTGTCTATGTCAACAAACAGAAAACATGACAATTATTATTAGCGGTAAATAAATGATTTAAATAAAGTACCAAAAGAAAAGAAAAGGTTTGTCCTAAAATTAATAGTCTTAAAAGGTATATAGGAAGAGTTTCCCAAATTTTAACAAAACTCTGGTTTTATTTGACAAGTACGTATCACCAGAATTATTGAAAATTGGGAGAATCAATAGACTTTGATAACTTTAAGGTTAAACTAACTTTCCTGTTTAAATTAAGGTAAACAAATGTGAGTTTGCATTATGGTATATATTTTCAAAAATTTTAGGAAAGAACAATACTCTCTGGTCTTGTTTGACGAGCATGTATCACCAGAATGATTGACAAGGAGCAATAGTCTGATCCACCTGGAAGTAGAAAATCCTCCTATAAACAGTACCTTTAAGAAACACTACTCCCCCGACTGAGCATACAGTATATAATGTATGTGTGTTTTTGGTTTCCAGTCCAAGCTGTCGGTGCTGTTCCTGGGCCACAGCGCGGACCTGAGGCCTGGGGAGTTCGTGGTGGCCATCGGAAGCCCCTTCGCCCTCCAGAACACCGTCACCACCGGCATCGTGAGCACGGCGCAGAGAGACGGCAAAGAGCTGGGCCTCCGCGACTCCGACATGGACTACATTCAGACCGACGCCATAATCAACGTGAGATTCTGACTCCTCTAACTCCGACAGAGTAGATCTATATTCACTGTGCGTTTGACTGACAGCTCTGTGTTCTGTTTACAGTACGGCAACTCTGGAGGGCCGCTCGTCAATCTGGTGAGCTTCTACTAACACCATTTATTTTAAGATAAGATAAAATACTCCCGTAGAAGAAATTTGTCTTGGGACAGGAGTTCACATGCTTTACACCACACACAAATTTCATAACTAAAATATGAGGTAAAAAAGGCTTGAATAGAGTGGTTTTAATCTTAATTTGAGTGAATTCTGAAGGTCTTAAAACAATATTTTCCAATGAGACAAAAGCATTTAGTCTTATTTCAAGATCCATTGGCATATCTTGCTTTAAGCCAGTCAGAATGGGCTTGAATTAAGATACAGTTTGACGAATTTGAGCCAATTTAAACTTATTATTCATACATTTTTGCTGTCCAGAAAAAAAAAAAACATTTATAGCAGGACATTACAACAGAGAGCACATTTGTACAGTATTATTATGATGCACATGTACTGTAAAACTCTTAAAAACTGATAAATAAATTGAAAGGAAGAAAGAACAAAGAGCACACAGAAATCATTCCATATTTGTTTTGCACTTACCCTGAGCCTAAAGTGCAGTTTTTGTTTTAATCCAGACGTAGGGTTGTTCTATAATCCATGTTCTTTTGTTTTCTAGGACGGAGAAGTCATCGGCATCAACACGTTAAAAGTAGCCGCAGGGATCTCCTTTGCCATCCCCTCGGACCGGATCACACGCTTCCTTAACGATTCCATGGACAAATTCAACAAAGGTGACTTGGATTTCTGATTTCTTTCGCTTTGATTGGACATAAATCCTCAGTAATTTAACAACTCTGCTCTTGTTACAGACACAAGGCAGATGAAGAAGAGGTTTATTGGAATCCGGATGCTAACTATCACACCAGCGTAAGATATATCCAATAGATTTATGTAAACAGCTGGCTCTCTCACCCATCACTAAATCACTAAAAGAGCCTAATATTCTTTGGTTATTTTGAGCAAAAACATTGAATCCTTCACTGTTTTTTCTGAAATAATTGAAAAAAGTCTTGTGTAGTGTCTTTGTGGGTGGCTATAAACCAAAGTAGATTAAAAGGAAAGTAACGCGACACTTTTCAATAATAAACATTGATTTGTAAAGTACTAAAAATGAATCCATAGTCAAAGGACTTGAATGTGTTGCTTCAGATGTCGAAAGGTTTTTCTCATTTGCAAAGGTGATGTTTGTTGTCTTTGTCAGGCTGATAGAGGAGCTGAAGCAACAGAACCCAGACTTCCCGGACATCTCCAGTGGGATCTACGTGCACGAGGTGGTCCCGCACTCCCCGGCTCAAAAGTACGTCTAAATCCCTCTGCATTTGGACTTAAGTATGTATATGTGTGTCGTACAGTAGTGAAGGCCTTTCTCACTCCTGTCTTCTACAGAGGCGGTATTAAAGATGGAGACATCCTGGTCAAACTGAACGGGAAACCTCTGCTGACCACGACGGACCTCCAGGGGGCGCTGCAGGAGGAGACCGCTCTGCTGCTGGAGGTGCGGAGGGGAAACGATGACCTCCTGTTTAACATCGAGCCTGATGTCATCATGCAGTAACTGTGTCTGGACCATGTGGCACTAAGACTGGACTGTCCCGATGGGGGCTGATGCTGGACAAGTGAGTTCCACCAAACAGGACGTCTCATGGTACTTAGAACAACCTCCTCCACAGAAGAAGACACCAGCATCATTCTTACTCTAAATACTTCATCCTGGAGACATCAGAGCTTATCAGAACTGGTCTGATCCAAGGTCTATTATTAATAACTTTAACTAGTATTTGTGATTCTGCAACACTGTCGGTGGAGTTTTCCTCAGAACGAATGCAAACTGTGGAGATCTGCATCATACACTTGGAGCATCCTGGAGATGTGTTTTCATATCAGGCAGGTTTGAATATTTTACATGTAGTATGATAAGTAATCAGTCAATTCAACGAGTCGAGTTGAGCGAGTCCATTCTAAAATCTGGAAGTCACAAAGAAAGTCCAACAGAAACAAAAGACTTATGTCATAAACACAACGGTTTAAGTCACGCCTGTAATTTTAAACTCAGCCGCTCAGACCGACACTGAACTGCTCTTTGCGTCGTTGACAAAGACGTTCTTGTGTCCGCACTGGACTAACGGGTTCTAGCTCATGTTGAGTAAAGTCAGGGACCGGAGAACAGTATTGCTGTAGCTGTTTACGCCTGAGGTACCGTATGTTGTTGTTATTTTATTTTTGTATAATTGTTTGACATACTGTGCATGGCTTTGTCCAATAAACAGTTAACACTCTAATATTAGTGCGTTTTAATCATGTATTTCCTGTTTTTTTTAAGTGAATAGCATCCTAAACAGCAGCAGCAGCCCACCTCTTGTGCTGCTGCTGTAATTCCCACAATGTAAAGCCATCTGTGTGCATTTAACTTTTACAGCTTTCTAAAACGTTGACAGCTTTTCTTACATATGGCGTTTGTAAATTCCAATCAAAGTAAATTATGAAAGGAAATGCAAACGCTACAGTCCTTTGTAACACCCCGGAGTAATAATGCACATATGCGAGTTGTAAAACAGGACGCATCCTCTCGGAGCCGAGGCGTACGTCTGTGGTTCGTGAAGAGCCTCTTGTGGGAAAGAAGTGTCTGCACATAAAGATTCCTGAGTGGAACTGTGTCTGGGTTCACTGCAGACACATGGACGACATTTGCTGCTGTAGCTTTGCCCTGTGGTGAGCGGCTGGTCCCCCTCCTCCTCCTCCGACGGTGGCTCGAGGAAACGCTGAGGTCATGAACGCTCCAGAAGCTGCTTAGAGCTGTTTGTAAGCAAATATATGAGCCTCAGACCAGACACTTCATCCCCCAGAGAATTTGGCAAACTTGGCAACAATAATAGAAACATTTGGGTTTTATTTTCCGTGGGATACTTAATTGTAGCTGCTTGAGTACACTAAGACCTAGGTGTTTGTGCACAGAGTAATAGAATAACATTTAAGTATGTGGGAGAGAGTAGTATATGTAGGGTTTTAAGGCAGAACAATGTTGGAAAAATAACTAATTCTGATCTTTTTGGAGAAAAAAATTGTGTTTAAAGCTGCACTGTCAACCCTGATCAGTTTTGTCAACTCTAAGTTTTAGGCCAAAGGATTACACTGCAAAAAGTGATGAAAAATAAGTCAAAAAGTGCTCAAATTTGGCTAAATGTGTCTTAAGTTGAACACATTTAAACTGCCTTAAAGCAAGACAGTCAGAATGTACTCTCATTAAGAAAAAAAACCTTTTACTTTTCAAAACGCTGGAACAAAAATGTTTAATTTATGGATTAAGTTACATGCCCTTAGCTGAATTAGGGTAAAAACTCCTTGGGTCCTTGGGTTAGAGCAGGAAACGGTTTGCTTAAGAAAATAGGAAAATACTAAATACAGTACAATGATACAATATCTGGCTTTACGATTCACTATTGACTGAAATGACATTGACAAACTGCATACACAAAAAATACAACACACAATCCAGATACAAAATAACACTCAACACACACCAGGGGAAGGAGCAGTGTTCTGAGTGGTAACAACACTGCTGCTTCAACAAGAACAGTCTCACGGTCACATAAAAACAAAGGACTTCAACTTAAGTCTATAAAAGGTGTTCATTGTTTACAGAAGATTCCTAGAGTTATTTCGAGCCAAACACCCTAAATACGTCCGTTACAAATCTACGAGTTGGGAGACAGTGTGTATATTTATGTTTGTGATGTAACCCTGACCTACTTTCTCCAGCTGAAGTCCAGACAAAACAGTTCCACATGGACGGAACTGGAGGAATGTACAGTATCGGACTCTGTACACGGATCCAGAGCGACTGAGGACTCCTAAACGTGCATGTAAATAAACTGCACCAGCGACATTTGAAAAGAAAGTAAATATTGTCCACATAAAAGGTCGCTCTTGAATATAAGCCAGAGGGTTTTATGGTGGATTTTACACTTAAATAACTATGGTCCAAACTAAGGCCTGGGGGCCAATTGCGGCCCTCTCTGTTATGTTATTTGGTCCTCCGACTTGCTAACCTGAATTAGCCATTGATATCATTACGTCCACTGTCATCCAACTTCAGCTCCAGCTTTATAGACATTCTCTACCTCGTAAAGCTCAGACCCTTTGGAAGTCAGTCGTTAATGTTATTTGTATATACTAACGATTGTTTTTGACTTCCAAAATCTCATATGGCTCGAATGTAGATGTGGTGTGATAGTAAGCAATCAAAGCTGTCAAATGTTGCTGCTGTTATGCTATCTGTGCCGTCTGCCCCTGGACCAGTCAGGTCAACTGCAGTGGGCCTTCTACTAAAAGGTTTGGACACCCCTGACATAGCTGTAGAAAGAGTAACAGGATTCATGACGAGGTGTTTTGACGCACAGTTGTCGAGTTATGGACTAAGCATTCTGGGAAAATACAAGATGAGCTCTGAGGAGGCAAACATTAACTGCATCCAAGTCATTTACCTCAACTTTAATAACAATAAACGTGCTGTGGTCCTGCAGCTACTAAACCTGGATGGAGTCAAAACAATGAGTCCATAAACTCTGCTCTGACCACAACCCTAATGAGGTGAATAAAAGGTATTGTGTGTATTTTCTTGCATTTCCTCGTGTCTGTGCTGTTCACATAAACATGAAGCACAGGTGATAGAGCTATGTCCAAATTCTTTCTTTTCTACCACAATAAATATACATACATTGGCAACATGGCTTTATAGGTAGGGTTTGAAGAACTTGAAAAAAGTAAGAGCCTAAAGTCTGACAATTACTGAATTTGGCTCCAAAATCAACACAATGGAAAATCTCAAGTGGATGTTTTTAATATACAAAAAAGGAGATGAAGGCTTTTGATATCATCATATTGTGGAGGATCCATTTTCACTTGTTTACCATTTATTTCAATTTGACCAGACATAGAAAGGGGGGGACAGGAAGCCAAAATATGAATGTGTTTGCTTTGTGTGTCTGTAAAGTTTACTTTAGAAGCTATGTGTTTGTTTTAACCTTCTTACAATATAAAAAGGTAAAATACTGATTTTTCTGGAAATAAACCGACACTGGACCAAAGGCTAAGAAGGCAGAGTATTTGGTTGTTTTCCTGAGACACTGGTAAGTTGTACAACTCCATTGGATCTCAATTCATTTAAAAAGTGTACAGTATGAGGAATTGTCCTGGGGCCGCAAAGAAACGTGAATCGGACCAAATGTGGCACCCAGCCCACAGTTTTCCCCAGTCCAGATAGTCTTACCTCTTCAGCTAAGCATGCTTGGAGCAGATTGCTACATAGAGATTCTAAAGAAAAAATATTTGTCGTTACTGGGCCCTGAGGCAAGACTCTTCCCGCACCCTTCTTAGTAGAAATTTGTTTTTTTAAAGGCTGGGTTTGAATGCACTACAAATCATATCTGTGTTTTGTGTCTTCAGTATACAGCATGTGACACTAAAGATGATTTTCCTTGTGCATATAGAGTTATTATGAATGATTACGGGGCAAGGTCAAACACAGTCCTAGTCTTGATAAGCAGTCGCCGCTTGGAGCTGCTCTGGTTTACAGTCAGTGAGGCGCAATCCGGGCACATGTGGAGATGGGGAAGGAGGGAAAGTCCCGCTCATAATCCCCCGGTTTTTCATTAGCGTGATCACGAGCCACAGTTTGAGTCAGAGAGAAGCAGACGAGGTCCTGCTGACGAGCCGCCACAAAATACATCTATATAATGCTGTCGCTATTCTTCCAGTCTTCTTTAATGCACGGTGGGAATCACGAGGTAACAAAGTGTGGAAAAATTATATAGAGTATTTATTAACGCATTAATTACAAATAGTTTTATACATAATTATCAGAAGATGTATTATTTATTTGTTATTACAGGCATGCCAAACCTACACCACCTAAACCAAGTCTGTCTGATTCAGCCCGACTTCAAACCGTATATATTTAGCTTTAAAGAAAGAAATTAACGCTGAGCAATTTTCCGTTGGACTCTCCTCGTGAAGGAATTAGATGAAAACCACCAAAGCTAGTCCACATGCAAGTTTGGCATCACTATTTTACAATTTAACCAACACTAACTTAATATATACAGATCTACATCCATTGGACATATTATAATAATACAGAACAATGTCAGTAATTTAACACTGGAAATAAAATCGGCATAATTGCATTGTTTCACAGCTGAATATTGGCACAGAAGTTATCATGTTTTTAAAGCATAAGGCACATTTTCAGTGGGGCATGGACAGATGGGCACACGGTCTGTCTGTTTGCAGTGTGCTAGTATCAGGTCTGGTCTGGTCCCTTGTTCCCGTGGTGCAGATCCAGCTCTAGAGTTTGGCCTGGAGAGATCCCACCTGAGGCTTGTGTGAGCAGAACTCCTTCCACCAGGACGGTCTCTGCAGAACCTCGGGGCCCTGCATCACCGTGGACCACAGGTTTTTGTACAGCTGCAGGACAAAGCATAACAGGCTCACTGCACTATTACAGAGGAGAGACGTTCATTTGTACACCACTAGAGCACGATTAAAACGTAAAGGTAACCCAGAGTGCTTTACAGAACAAGAAACGAAACATTCAAATCCAAAATAAAACAAGTAATCCTGAAGTAATCGCTCGAAGGTTCTCATCAATGTTGGACTTATTGCATCTATAAAAGAACTTTCATCACAGGAAAAGTGTGGAGGGTGAATCGTGAGTTAAATGTAGAGAGAACAGAGGATAAGAGAAAGAACATCAAAACACTTGGGGCATTTCTATAGTTACAATAGTAATGCACACTCCAAAACAAATTGTTTATGAATGATAAAAATGAGGAGCAGACTCAACTAATACTAAGAAGAACTAAGACCATGAGTCCTTCATATGATCAGGAATATTTTTTCCTTTTGGCTGTCATTTCATAATATTATTATATATTAAAACATATCCTGTGAAAATGGAAGAATGTATTAACCCACTAATGTCAAAATGATATAAGATAATATAAAATAGACTTTATTGATCCCACACTGGAGAAATGTATTAGGAGTAATGTGTGTCTATGTGTGTCACTACTACTACTACTACTACTACTACTACTACTACGACTACTACTACCACTACGCATTTCTAGTATCTTCTGTGATCAATGATTCATGTTTTGTCATCCGTGTGTCACTGAAGTAAATCCTGGAGAAACCGCGTGACGTAGAAACACATTCACAAACATCTTCAGCACCAGTCGCTGTCAAACAACATTACTTTTGTTTAATTAAAAACAGTGTTTTTGGAAGAGGGGACGACGACCTTCCAGTAATCTGCCTGAGCTCCGCTGAGTCAGCAGAGCAGACCTCAGGGGCCGTCTATCACATGGGTGTGGGATGTAGTAGAACTGGGCGGAGTGGTGTATGTCCTGGTGATGCATGGAGTGTCCTCACCTGACCGTCTGAGAGTCCGATGGGAGAGTTTAAGATGAAGTCCGGAGGAGCCAACACATCCACCAGCGACACAGAGTCGTCTTTGAGCTGAAATGGAAAAATAACAGAACTAAACAAGGGCTGCAAAATTCAAAAAATGTCAAAGATGGAAACTTGCCATGGGAATTTAATGTAATTTATGGGAACAAACAGGAATTAACTGGGAATTGTCAAACTTGGAGGTTGGTGCTTCATAGGGAACATACATTTAGGAAAGTGCATTGTAGCATGATAAGTAAGTTTTGATGATATTATATGGAACTTGTTTGACAAATAAATGTGTTGAAATTTCTGTTACAAACTTTGCAAATGGATGTTTTCTGATGACTTCTGTTTGTATTTATACTTGGATATGACACAATTTAATTACATTACAATTCCTTCCCAGCTGTGTAATATTACCAAAATTCCCCAGCTTAACTTCCCAAGGAAATATATCTCTAAACAGAACACTTGCTTTTTATTGGTTAAAGTGAGAAATGTAAGCATATATGAATCAAATGTATGGCTACATTCCTCTTACAATCCATGCTACGTGCTGTGGAAGAGGAGAAACTGCAGAACGTCCAAATTGAAGGCTGTGGGAACAAAGCTATGGTTGGTATGGCTTATTCAAACACGGCACGAGAAGGAATGAGATGCATTTTTGGAATCTAGATTATCATTTGAGCAAAGCAACAAATGAAAGGCAGTGATTAGAAGCATTTCTTTTGGCCGAGTACAAACACATGCAACTTGAACTTTCTTGTGCCAAAACACACAAGGACTGCGTGACTTTGTTAATGTGTCCGTTCCGGTTTCAACATTCCTCATGAACCGTTCTGGGAGACAGCTGCTTCTCCTACAGCTCAACGTTAGCCCCCCGTACCTGTGCGCAGAGGGACAGGATGGCCTTCTGGATCATCTGTGCTGGCTGGCGTCTGCTGAGGTAACCGCCTACAGAGGAAGAAACCTGGGGTCAGCCTCACAAGACTTAAACTCACAAACACAGACTTTTACAAGATTTGCAAATTTCCTACTGCTTTACTCAGCTGTACATAGAGTATTTCATGCAGGTTTTGAATCGTTTTGATAATTGCAAAATGTAATCAAATCAATCCAACTAGTTTCTCGCTCTCAGTTATGTACTTTTTGGGCTCCGTCACATATTTTGATCAGCTTTTTCAGGCAGAAAAGTGAGAAAAGAAAGAACTACCCTTAAACCAAAGCTTAATAGTGACTCACAAGGGCTAATCTAAGGTGCCATTTTACTTTACCAGACCATCTGTAGGTGCAAAACAACATGAATTATTTATGAAAAATGTATGGACCCCAGCTTTAATGTACTTCTTTCTATAGTTTCTGAAACATATATTATTCTACACTATTTCAAGTGTTTGAAAATGAATCAGAAGGAACATTTGTGATTATAACCTCCATTTTTAAATACTTCTCTTTGACACAGTTCTGTAGGATGTGGTTGATCATGTATTTCCTGTTATGGTGTGGACTTTTTGATTACTTTTCCTGTTTTTTTGTGTGATATATTGGTATGTTGGTTCATCAGTGTTGCTAACGTCTGTTCTGTTAACTGCCTGTCCCGCCCTGATGTGTTTCACACGTGTGTCCCTGTGTGTATTTAAACCCTGTGCTCTTCTCTCCTTGTAGTTGGTCCATTGTGTTTTTGGCCCCGTTTCGTCCTGGTTTGAGTTTTCAGTTCTGTATGCTGGATTATTATTTTTTCGTTTATTAAATCTTATTTTTGGCAGTCCTGAATTTTGGGTCCTTCATCCTTTTCAGAACGTGACATTTCCTCATTTATCTCCGCACTACTGATTTTTCATGTAACTTGAATGTGTTTTGAGCCATATGAAAATCTAACATTCTGTGCCAACAGCGAGCACTGTACCCACTACCCACACACTTGGGCAACAAATATACAGAATGAAGAATACAAAACAAAAAAGGTACGGGAAGAATCTGTACAATATACAATATACTATTATTACACAAGATTTGGCTTAAAAAGGAGTGAGAAGAAAAAAACGTATGTGCTGCCACTCCCTGTTCCTACATTTCTCTACTCAGCTTAGTTCCTGGTGTCTTTCTATAGTTTTCCGTATAACTTACATATACAGTGGGGCAAAAAAGTATTTAGTCAGCCACCAATTGTGAAAGTTCTCCCACTTAAAATAATGAGAGAGGTCTGTAATTTTCATCATAGGTACACTTCAACTGTGAGAGACAGAATGTGAAAAAAAATTCACATTGTAGGATTTTTAAAGATTTTATTTGTAAATTATGGTGGAAAATAAGTATTTGGTCAATAACAAAAATTCAACACAATACTTTGTAATATAACCTTTGTTGGTAATAACAGAGGTCAAACAATTACTATAGGTCTTTACCAGGTTTGCACACACAGTGGCTGGTATTTTGGCCCATTCTTCCATGCAGATCTTCTCGAGAGCAGTGAACACGGACTTTTAACTCCCTCCACAGATTTTCAAGGGGTTCAGAACTGGAGACTGGCTAGGCCACTCCAGGACTTTCAAATGCTTCTTACGGAGCCACTCCTTCGTTGCCCGGGCGATGTGTTTAGGATCATTGTCATGCTGGAAGACCCAGCCACTTTTCATCTTCAAAGCTCTCACTGATGGAAGGAGGTTTTGGCTCAAAATCTCCCGATACATGGCCCCATTCAAACTTTCCTTAACACGGATCAGTCGTCCTGTCCCCTTAGCAGAAAAGCAGCCCCAAAGCATGACGTTTCCACCCCCATGCTTCACAGAAGGTATGGTGTTCTTGGGATGCAACTCAGTATTCTTCTTCCTCCAAACATGACGAGTTGAGTTTATACCAAACAGTTCTACTTTGGTTTCATCTGACCACATGACATTCTCCCAATCCTCTGCTGTATAATCCATGTGCTCTCTGGCAAACTTCAGACGGGCCTGGACATGCACTGGCTTCAGCAGGGGGACACGTCTGGCACTGCAGGATTTGATTCCCTGTCGTCGTAGTATGTTACTGATGGTAAATTTTGTTACTTTGGTCCCAGCTCTCTGCAGGTCATTCACCAGGCCCCCCCGTGTGGTTCTGGGATTTTTGATCACCGTTCTCATGATCATTTTGACCCCACGGAATGAGATCTTGCGATCGAGGGAGATTATCAGTGGTATTGTATGTCTTCCATTTTCTGATAATGGCTCCCACAGTTGATTTGTTCACACCAAGCTGCTTGCCTATTGTAGACTCACTCTTCCCAGTCTGGTGCAGGTCTACAATTCTTTTCCTGGTGTCCTTCGACAGCTCTTTGGTCTTGGCCATAGTGGAGTTTGGAGTCTGACTGTTTGAGGCTGTGGACAGGTGTCTTTTATGCAGATAACGAGTTCAAACAGGTGTCATTAATACAGGTAACGAGTAGAGGACAGAAGAGCTTCTTAAAGAAGAAGTTACAGGTCTGTAAGAGCCAGAGATCTTCCTTGTTTGAACTGACCAAATACTTACTTTCCACCATAATTTACAAATAAATTCTTTAAAAATCCTACAATGTGAATTCCTGGATTTTTTTCCACATTCTGCCTCTCAGAGTTGAAGTGTACCTATGATGAAAATTACAGACCTCTGTCATTATTTTAAGTGGGAGAACTTTCACAATCAGTGGCTGACTAAATACTTTTTTGCCCCACTGTACATACATACATACACTTGTGATGCACTGAGATGATGCTGACCTTGGTAGAGCGTGGCCATGTGGCTGTTCAGGCTCCACAGTCCGTAAAGGCCACACAGCTTGTGCAGGACTGCTCTGAGGTCAGCCGGAGTGTCCTCTGCTCTGGTCAGATCGTAGAACCTCTGCAGACAGGTCAGCTCGATGTACGCCAGTGACAGGGAGCGGCAGTAGTACACCTGACACACACACACACACGGGGAGGGGCAGAGGAAATTAAAAATTATGTATGCATAAGAAGACATTTACTTTAGAAGAGCTACTTTCACTGATCACACAAACTTGGACAAAATGGACACTTCATTTTTCAGATTCAGATTCATTTATTTGCCATTTGCAGTAAAATCACCATTGTGTATCATTCACCTGATACACAATGGTAATAAACAACAACCGTAGTCACAGCTGCCCTGGGGCACACTGACAGAAGCAAGGAAACCGGTATGTGCCATTGTCCCTTCTGATCAGCACCAATCATATACACACACAAACCAGACTCATTCTAATGTGGGTTAAATGTCTTGCCTAAACACACAACAACAGTTTGGCACTTTACAGCTGCAGCCGCCCCACTGTGGCGCCCGGTCTCCTATAACAAGATTAACCTGGCCCTGCCCTGCTTAGCCTCAGAGGTGTGATAGGATCTGGCTTTCACATGCACGTGGTACCATAATAATTTAATACGACCAGGAAAAAAAACAGTTGTACTTAAAAGTTTATACGTCCCGACTCCCGACAGAAACGTCATTGTTCTGAAAATATAAAAACGATCTCAGCGTCCTTGTTAGTGGTTGTGTGAAGTCATAAATGGTAAAATAAACACGTATTTTTTTTAAATATATATAATTGAGCCGCTCTGTCGAGTAGTCAAATGTGCAGTTCATGCAAGGTGATCCAGGAATTTACTCAATCTGGAGGCTTTTTGCTGATAGGAATGAGACACTTTACCATCGGAGAGGATATAGAACCTCATCCACAACTACCACAACAGACTCCAAGCTGTGACAGATGTTAAAGAGACAGTACACACTATTGAGAACTGGGGGATGGAGACTTCTGATCAGGGTCAGGAGGAGTTTTATCAACACAAATACATATTTATTTCACACAAGCACTAACAATGGAGTGAAGAGTTAGTTATGATAGACTCTGAAATATGAAAAATGATTGTAATTTCTGCCTGGTTTATAGCCCAACTGTAGCAGGAAACAGCCGCTACAATAGTTTCTCACATGCAGCCTCTGTACTGTTATAATACAAGTTACAATCTAACCAGCTGGATCCATATTGTCAGAACTAGCGTCAAAACAGTCGGGAAACGTGTGTATGTCGAGTCAAAACGTGGGTTATTGAAACTAATTCTATTCTGTTTGACGCTGTTCCCGCAAACACCACAGGCTTGAACTGTGAGTCATTAATCCCAAACAGCTGTGGTGATCAGACGAGAGAACACCAAAGACCTCCAAACTCTATCCAAGTCAGCGATCTTACGGCTTATTTAGGGCAGGGCAATTATCCACAACCTTATCGACTTGGGTGATTCTGATCCGGATGTCTGTGGTGAGGATCAGCATGTGGTTTGAGTGTTCAGACAGCGGAAGAGATAAGATAAGAGACATTTGTATTGGTCCCACAGTGGGGAAATGTCGGTGTTGCAGTGCACTAGCTGCCTCGCATCGCCTCAATCCTTGTTCTACAGCCTGAGTCCTGCATCTACAGGTCCATCCGTGGGACCGCTGGGTTTTCTAGAGTTTTTCCTTGCTGATGCAGAGGGGTCTAAGGACAGTGATGATGATCCAGAACACTCGATAATCAATAACCAATGTCCATAAATCAACATTTATGGACATTGATCATCTACCTCTTATGGACCAATGGCTCTATGTGTTTTTTATCATTGCATTTCTTGTGTTTGAATTGTTTGATTCTCTGATCTGTGTTGGAGAATCGACGGTTTTGTTAAGTCCTCCGAGAATACTACTGTTGTGATTTAGGGCTGTGCAAAATTTACTTAAATTGACAGTAGTAACATCTCACTTGACTGTTGTTCCGGGCTTCAAACTCGTCCTTTCCCATGCTCCTTTGCTGCTGCAGCCTCTTGTGGCTCTCGTCCAACAGAAAACACACCAACCATTTGTAGGCCGCCACCGACACTGAAGGTGCGAGATAAACAGTGCGTGTTTTGAGGATGCACACGGTCACAGTGAAGGGTTATGACGTGTGTCTGATCTCACACCTGCAGGATCCATACACTCTTCTTCTGTCGAGGCCGTGAACTTTGTCTCCAGGATTTGATGGAAATCGTTGAGGAAATCCACAGTGTGAAGAGGAGACTCCATATTACCATTGTCTGGGACGGGCAACACAAAAGCAGATCAGCTGTACCATTGTAAATATGCTTTAAACCAGTCATTACTGTTACGATTGGGTGTATAAAGCAGGCGCTCACTGTGCTCTCTGTGCTGGAGGCAGCTGAGCAGATAACTGCTGGTCTGCTGCAGCAGGACGTTGTTGTCTCCTTCATAAGTGCAGTTTGGATCATTGTCATTCCTCAGGTCTCCCAGACGATTCACTGTAGCACACACATGGTCCAGTTTATATTGTGTCTTATATAGCACAGCCTCACTACGCGACAAAATCTCATGACATAGCTTGATATGTTCATGTTCTTATAGCAGCAATTAAATTAAATTGTATTTTCTGTCTGATAATGTCTGGTCATGTTTCTTTCTTCCTTTAGTTTGAACATTGTAAAGCGCTTTGGGTGACATTGGTCTGTAAAATGCGCTATATAAACATGACTTACTGACTTCATTTAACGTTTTACAACAACCTGCTCAAGGACTACTGGTGTAAATTAGCATTGCTGCTAAACCTGGTACAATGCATCTTTTCGTACCAGGTTGTAGAACAATAAGAGATGTACCAATATGTTTATTCTATTGTCCCTGTAAAAATAAAAACCATATCACACCAAACCAAACCAATGTAAGTGCTACTAACATGTGAAAACTATTATTATTACTGATTTCTAGTGGTGCATGTTACTGACTAGCCAGGTATCCGTGTCCTCCGCAGGCCTCTCGACACTCCTGGATGCCCTTCTGAGCTGTCCATGAGCCCAGGGGTTTAGCGGCACACGCCATGGCATGGATCTCTCTGCCGAGCTCCGACTGCATGGACCAGGACACAGTGCAGACGTTAAAAATACACAGTAGCTATTCTTCCGAAACTCATCAATGTCCCAGTGATATGTGAAATTGACAAACATGAATGAACAAACAAATGATTATACAAAAACAAAAATACAGAAGTGTTATAACAAAAACACACAGTAATCATATGCATACATACAGTACATACACAAACACGTATCTTAACCAAACTATAAAAATATACCAAACCTAAGCCCCTCCCTCACCTGTCTGTCACTCTTGTCCCGCATCATCAGTCCCACTTGGAACTCCACAAAGTTCATGTAGAAGCTTTTGCTGAAGTGCTCCAGTGCATACGCCGCAGCCAGGTACGGGATCAGGCGCCATTGCTACGTACAATAATCCCACTGTTAGCCTTCATCACATCCACATCGTCATTTTAAATGTGTTATTGTGAACAAATCATAAGTTCATTTATAGAACATAGAGGTCCTGAATATGCAGACCTGCAGCTGGTACTCGAGTACTGGGATCTCCTCTGTGTCCTTTGGTCCGAACTGCCTCCTGGTGGCGGAGAAGCGGATGGCGATGGTCAGAGCCAGTTTCAAGTTCACAAGAGCCATTCTGGTGATGGACACTCTGCCCCCGGACAGAGCACCCAGAGACGCCCCGAAACGCTTGTTAGGGTCCTGTGGGAATGATCAAATACATTAAAGTGTAGAAATAGGGATTTTTAGGCCATAAAATGAAGGCTAATGCGATGTTTTCACTCACTGTTAGTGGTTTTGTGAAGCCGTTTATGATGAAACAAATGTATTTTCTATTTACAATGTATAATGACAACAGAAACTCCTCTTCTGGCTCTAATTATAAGTTTCCATCCCCCAGTTCTCATTAGCGTGTATTGTGGAGGTTCTGGTGGTAAGGCTGCCCATTCTTCTTGGCAAACCAGTTCCTGTAAATTCCTGGGGGGCCTTGCATGAACTACCATTGTGGTCCCCCAAAGTGGCTCAGTTATGTTATAATTTAGAAATAGAAAACATATATATGGCGTCACAAAAACATTAACAAAGTAATGGAAAAAATAAGGTGTTGTGTTGTGTTGTGTCAAAAGAACTACATATCTTCTTGTATGTGTAAACTTTAAAGCACAGCCGCGAGTGAGTATGCAAGTACAAAGATTCTATGGATAAACTAATGCCCTCATACCTTAAATGGGGTCACATAACGGCCATCAGGGGTCACCTCTCCTGTGGAATTCAGCAGGTTTTCACGTGGGATCCTCACATTATGGAACAATGCAAAACTGTAAAACACATAATCACACAAACCAAAGTGAGTAAGGGAGGTAAGAGTAGATTCCTACATTAATTCAAAGGAAAATATTATTATTATTATTATGCTATAGAGTAGTGTGCAGTTTCAATTTGACTTGTGTTATACTGCATGTATGGTTTTGTGGTTCTGCACTGCCACCTGCAGGACGCATGGATCTATTACATCTATAGTGGGCCTTCACTACAACCAGTTCACTGTTTGTGCAATTTTGCTTGCTTCTCTCTCTGGTCTCTCTCTCTGGTCTCTCTCTCTGGTCTCTCTCTCTGGTCTCTCTCTCTGGTCTCTCTCTCTGGTCTCTCTCTCTGGTCTCTCGCTCTGGTCTCTCGCTCTGGTCTCTCGCTCTGGTCTCTCGCTCTGGTCTCTCGCTCTGGTCTCTCGCTCTGGTCTCTCGCTCTGGTCTCTCGCTCTGGTCTCTCTCTCTGGTCTCTCTCTCTGGTCTCTCTCTCTGGTCTCTCATTCTGGTCTCTCTCTCTGGTCTCTCACTCTGGTCTCTCACTCTGGTCTCTCTCTCTGGTCTCCCTCAATCCTTTACACTGGTGTTTTTACATACCCATTGTCTAATCCGTTCTGTCCCAGCTTTTTGCCCATGTCTCCCACCATCACACCAGGCAGAGCAAGCAGCGTCTTGGGATCCCTCACCTACAACACACAATTTTCTCTTTATTAAACATGCTATAGGCTTCAGGGTCACTCATGGATGAACTGTAGTGTGACGAGGTACCGGGACGATGAAGGAGTGCAGTCCGTGGCACACTTGATCCGGAGTTAAGAGCTGAGCGTACAACACAGCATGCGTCGCGGTCTTTCCGAGGTTCCCCACCCAGAATTTAGCCGCCTCAAAGTCCGGAGAGTTGATTACGAATTCCTACAAACACATTTGAGGATACAAACTTACAGAACCTGGACCTGATATACAACATGAGCAATATTAATCCAAAAAATGGCATTAGTCATTGAGACATTACATATTATACTACTATAAGTATAAATATAAATATAGGGTTCTCCATGTTTTGCAACTGCTGTGATTTATGGCTATTCAAAAATAAATGCTATCGAATTGAATTGAAAAAACGTCTTGTTTTATTTTAAGAGAACAAGAAAACAAATGTGTCACTAAGCACGGATTGTCATGTGGTTGAAATCGGACAACTTGAATGTACTAATCTGTAACCAGGGCCAATAAGACTGACTCAAGCTATTTATTCATCTTCATTTTTTAAGAGTGAGACCTGTAATAGTATATTGTGTGATGCTCATGAACAATCTACTATAGTTTATCCGTGAGCAATGAAATAGAAGTATTTAGCATATGTGTCATTTCTAAATCTTTTTTGGGGGAGCTACTTGGTTGGAGCTCGCTGCCATAGGGACTTTCCCATACCCAGGCCCATAAATATGCAAAATGTGCACTTTATTTATCCCCGTAGGGATCTTTGTCCTCTGCATTTGACCCATCCTGCAAATGCCACTAGTGCGTCTGTCAGGAGCAGTGGTGGCCGTAGCACAGGAACCGGGAGTCCGTCTCCAGATAATAATGCTCGGTCTGGTCAGGACTACAGGAGCTGGAGGATTTATCTATTGTGCATGTTTTTGAAGTGATAGGGGAAACCTACGCAGACACGGGGAGAACATGCAAACTCCCCTCAGAAAGGCCCTGTTCCGACTGGTACATGAGCAAGTTTACCCACAGACTGACACAGAAGCAGAGTGTTTGGGAGGCGCCTGCACTGACCTGGGTGATGGCGTCATACGTGGCGGTCGTCCTCATGGCTCTAGTGTTACTGCCGTGGCTTAGTTCGGTCAGAGCAAAGCACCCGAAGAACTACAACAGAAAGAAGTACATCACTTTCATACGACTGGGCAAAAAATACTTCAGAATATTGTGGCTAAATATCAATTCTTAACATTGAACTTCTTCCCCAAATCATACATTAGGACTTGGACTGTGGCGTCCTCTCACTCACCGTCATGTCATCCACAGACTCCAAGTATTTGTGATGTCTTTCTGATCCGGATCGCTCAACAGTGTTACGAAACATCTGCAATCACACTTTTCACATTAAACTTGGCTGCGTTTTGTAATCGCCATTTATGGCTCCTACATACGTTTAATAGGAACTCAAAGACATGCTATAAAAGCAAAGAGACCGTCACTTTCATTCCTAAAATCTAATAAATGGCTCGGAGTAAGATGTGAGTTTTTAGCCGTTTTTGAAGGTGTTAAGTGAGTTTGAGTTTCTGAGATGTGGGAGGGAGAGAATGTTGTATGAATTATTATTAAATGCATATGGATTCATTATTTATCTAAATTTCTATCTTGAAATCTATATTCTATCCCTGTATGATCAAATTGTGGCCATTTTCTTTTTGTATTGGTGCTAGTCTATTCTAAAAATCCAAAAATAAAACCTTAGTCTTATTGTCTAACTTAGACACTGTTGGGTAAGAAACAAGTTCCTGCTCTAGCTTCTGTGGGGGAGAGAGAGAAGTTTGTATGAAATATTAAATGCTTCCTTGAGGGTTCCTTGATTAGAATTGTTTTATTTTTTTAAATGAAAGTAGTCTTGACAAACTTATCTTTCAAATCAGGTATAACATGCCATGGAAGCACATTGACACTTTCATAGGCCATTTTATCTCATTTAAATCATAAAACATAGGGTTAAATACTGTGAATTATTTGTGATTGAATGTCCAGATACACATTAGATAGAGATAGAGTAAGTACTAAACAATAACAGCCTGGATTTGTGAAAATATTAGAGCATGGGACTCTTACCCCTTTGTTGAGGAAGAACTTGGCTGATACCGCCCAGTCGTACATGCCGAGGCAGTCATTCAGGATAACATACGTCCAAGGGTTGGCATAAAACTGATCGTCAGGTAATAAGTCATAGCAGAAAAGTTGCTTCACCCTGGAAACATGTGTGTATAGTAGGACTGCTCAATTATATGCATTTGCAGCGATTCATACCTGAGGAAAGTAAGTTCTCTCATCTTATCCATAGGTATATCTTCTCCAGGGCGACGAGCAAAAACAGGGTCATTCTCAAGAGTTTGAAATACTTTATGCTGTAAAATAAAGCATACATATATATATTTACACTTTTTCTATTAATTTGATAAAAAGATAACATCACAGACAATGTATTAGGTAAATAAAAGCTGTTGGGGGCACTGCAAAAAATGATATGAGGTAATAATTTCAAGTGGTTTCAAAAACTGTTGCTTTATTTTATCATTCCAGATAATAGTAAGATAGTAAGATACTATTTGCCAAATTTGAGCATTTTTTGACTCCTTTTTCATCATTTACTGCATTGTGAGAAGGATTTGGATAATAAAACTACTACTTTTATATCACTGAACTTTTTTTGTCCAAGAAAAACTATAGATTGGCTTCATTTATGTGGTGATGTAATGTGCGTTTACCTTAAAAGCCATGATGTCATCTCCTTCTATAAAGCAGCGCATGTGTTTCCAGTTGAATGAGGCTTTATTCCTGTAGATGTCCAGCGGTCCACTGGGCAGGTCTGACACTTCCACACTCATCTTGGACAGGAGTCACTTACAATGCACTGAAATGTAGTCATAATAACAGTTGATAATAATTATAGCCTGATTACATGACAGCATTTGAGCAGCTGTTAAAAGAAATCACATAGCATGTATAAGGAATAGGATTTTTGTTATAGTAGAAATAGAAGACAAAAAACTGAACATGCTTTTATTAAAGATCATAAACACATAGCTAATCTAACATGTTTTCTTTTCCATAAGCTGTAGACTTTAGAAGAGTGTCCACTTGGAGCAAAGTTCAGACAGATGTGAATCAGATTCTTCAGGATTAACTAGCTGTTATATCATCACAGATCAGATGTCATAACATGTTACTAACCTGAGTGTAGCTCGTCACACAAAGTCTTAGCTTGTGTGTGTTGAACGCAAACTTGTCATTTCAAAGCGTGTGTTTGTGAGTGAAATAATAAAGGTTGTAGTTCAGACAGACTTACCTTTGAGCTCTGCCTCTGCTGTTGTTGCTGTTCACCTTTACACACAGCGACCGTTAATATAATAGATGCATGACAGCGACTCACGACCATAGACCGCACGACTCTCACTTCCGTGTTTCCACTTCTGGTTCCCTTCAGAATAAAATGTCTTTTCCAACAGAACTCTCCCATGGTACTTTTACACATGCATATTGCTGCGAAGATGCTCATACAGGTACACACTTATAAAATAGCATTCAGTACAATATAGCTTTAAAGGTGTGCCCGCTGCTGTGCTCACCTCCCTGTATAGAAAGCAGTGTTTCTCATGTTGGTACATGCACACTAGTGACTAGCCTGACTCTCGCCAGAAATACATCCATGCGCCAGACCCATGTAGTTCGCTGCACTTCACACATGAAGGTTCCGCCAAACGCCTCTGGTGGAGCATGGCGGAACTACAAGGGTCTGGCAGAGCCAGGCTACATGTACACTACACCAGGGCTGGACTGGGACAAAAAAACGGCCCGGGCATTTTTTCCTTCTTACCGGCCCAGGCATGTTTTTGTCACGTTTTTTACAGTTTGTTTATACCAGGGATCGCCAACTCAAAAGGTTCAAAGAGCCATATTTGACAAAAAAATATTAAAAACATCTGTCTGGAGCCGCAAAAAAATAACAGCCTTGTATAAAGCTTATATGAAGGTTACACAATGTAGCTACATTAGCTACATTAGCCTATTATCTAAATGACCAAGTAAAGGCTACAAATACATGATTAGCATTCATGATTATCAAATGTGTGTTTTCACTGCAGCGTGTCCTGGAGAGAATGACGCACCACGTGATGACTCTGCTTTAACTTTGACTTCCATTTTTTTGCCTTCATGCAACTGTAGAAATACAGTAAATAAATCTGCTTTTTGGCTCAAAGGTCACACACCTGCACTGTCCACTCATATCGATCACGTCACAGGCTGAAGTTTGCTGGAGCTGAATGTCCTTAATGGCCTTTTCTTTCACAGTCTTTGCGGAGGTTTTTGAAGTCTGAAAAAGGTGCTCCGGATTTTGTATTAAAGAATCCTTCACGTAATCCCTGTGAACGGTATTTAGTGCTTCATTGTTCCTCGTGTTGCAACAAAACTTCCTATTACATCGCAAACATGAAGCAGTCCTTCCTCATTGACTGAAAGCAAATGTTCAGTCTTGTTCTTAGTCCAGTCTTATTATCAACTCTTTCTCTTTTTATCTTTGGGATCCGTGCGCACACGCCGGTTTGTTTACAGCAGCGGCCGTCTGCCGCGGGGCCGCGCCACAGGATATGACTCACTACGTTGACAGAAATGTTGAAATTGAATATTACTTATACACATTTTTACAGCATTGAAATACGTTAGGAATGTTTTTCCTCCTACAGAAACCACATTCAAATTAGGAATAAAATATAGCCCTCCCACTCCATTTTCAGACATTTTTGAAAAGGCTCCAGGAGCCACTGGAGGAGCACTAAAGGTTGCCGACCCCTGGTTTATACAGTATGTGGAAGCATACTGTAGAGGATCAGGATGTCTACAGTTTCAACAAAAAAATAAAGTACAATAGTCTACATTACAAGAGAGTAATAAACATGTCTCAGAGTGAGGGAGGTGGACGCAGACAACACTGTTGTTTGTTACAGGGATGAGAATTGGTCAAAAAAGACTGAAATGCATAATGTCAGCCATTTGCTGGCTCTAAATCTGTTTAATTTTTTCACAACATTTTACTTTTGGGCTCAAACATGAACTTTTAATGCAATGGGAAATTTAGGCACCCGAGCTTTAATTTAGTCGCACTTCGAGAGGAGAGGGGAGACGCGGACTGTTTCCTGCAGCGGTGTATTTATTGAGTGCACAAATTACGCAAAGACACGCATGGTCCTGTGCGCGTTTATGGTCTTGGGTATATGGTCACGTTGCGGCTACGCGCTCACCGTGTTGTGTTGTGAGCGGCTCGCGGTGAGCGGTTCCCGCGTCCAGCTCAGAGCCGCTGGATGCGGGAACACTGCGGCCGCTGAGGTGGTAGAATCCCGTTCGAGTACATACAGCAGGTGCCCCGCGGACACGCGCGCCCCCTCGCACAGTTCTAAACGGATTTACACTTTTCACAAACATCTTTTTTGTATGAGGCAGACAGACCGGCCCAAATATGGGCATCGGCCCTTCTGGCATTGCCCGGTACGCCCGATGGCCAGTCCAGCCCTGCACTACACAGACCAACGTGAGCACTGTGGTTGGCTACTTTGAATCATCTCCGATATAAAGAAAGGTAGAATTGAATAGTGTCTGAATATATTGAGTGTATAGTGTGTAATACTTTTCACATTATTTATAAGAATTTTGTAAATGACTTAATTAATTAATATTTTTCCATTATTTATTACTATTATTTATTGTATGATCAACAGTTTATTTTGCTGTGCATGGCCACAGGTCGTTGCCTAGCAACGGGAGAAGAAAGTGGTAGTTGGACCAAAAGGTTGTGTGCTACAGCTCTTGGTTCTTGATAGTTTTCTGTCAAGGTTTTTTATGGTTTGTTTCAGCCCTTTGCACCTGGTTGATGAGGGAACAAGGTTCGTTTAATGTTGTTATTATTATTTTTCTCTTTCCTGTGATAATATGTAACGTTTTTGTTTACCGTTAGGTTAGTTGTATGCTACCTTTGGCCACTAGAGGGCGTTAAAACGGCCGTTAACAGCTCTGTTGTAACAAAGGGTAATTTTGAAGCAGTTTGATTACAATATATATGATAATTATTAAGCAATTAAGGGTAAGGGAATGTTAAGGTAATAAAAAAGGGAATAAGTTAAGGGATATGGTAATGAATTAAGGGTTTAAATAGAGTTTGTATGTGTCTCACTGTAAGTTTTCTAATTGTTAAATGTGTGAATTCTTTTAGCTCTTACGGTGTTGTTCACATACCAAAGAAACAATAAAGTTGTGAACCATCAGTTTCGAGTGACCAGTCAAATCAACCGGGGACGCTACATGAATCATTGATCATATGCAGGTGCCACAGTGAGGCGGCTGAGTCAGACTGTCCCTGTGTCCTTGGGCAAGGCCTCTCTTCCACATTGCAGAGTATGACGAGGCGCCACTTGCATGAGAAAGCCTGATCAGATCTTCAGTGAGGGCAGGCCTGGTTGGTACCATGATGGGAGTGAGTGAATATGCTTGACATGACGTCCTTGGGCAAGACACTTTACCCACATTGACAAGTATGTCTGAATAATTTGTGGTGGCACAGATGTATAGCCTTGCTTCAGTCAGTGTGCCCCAGGGCAGCTGTGACATTATTCAATATTCATTCACAGAGTGAGTGAATATGCTTGACCTTACATTCATAAAAGCTGATGCATTATTATATCCCCACATTGCTTAGTATGAGTCTGGTGTGTGTGTGAATGGATGGGCATGGTCAGAAGGTAACCTGGAACCCTTTGTTCCAGGGCAGCTTTGGCTGCAGTAGTAACTTTGTACCCTCATGAGTAGAGTGAATTAATAATGCTTTGTGAAATAAACAAAACTATGTTTAATTATATCCTAACAACAATAATTGGAAGAAAAATAATAAAAAGGCCTGATTGAAATCAAGACAATATAACAATACCTATAAGTACCTATATCCACTGAATCTATTATTGGCTGTTGTTCCCAAAAAATGCATATATGTGGAATTAAAACACAAACTGAATTCAATACAAAGATAAATATTTTCAAACACCAGCCTACAATGACAATGACTTTTGTATTATTTTATAATCATTTGAAGTGATCAGAACCTGGCGTGTAGCTGTGTTTGACCCAGGACCCAGAGAAAGGAGGACAGGGACATCGGCTGGTTTATATATTTACTGAACACTGAAGGAGCAGAAAGGGCTTGTTCACACTGCTCCAGCTGGAGGCTCAGGACACCGACAGTAATGAAGAGATTACACACACAACACTGAATGGACACAGAGGTGCATATTAAAATAGGCATGTCTTTAGAGTCTATTCTACCAACTCTCATCTATGTTGCATTTACAGCACGTTCTTAAATCAGCTGTTTACTGGCACTGCAGTTGTATTGAAAAAAAGGTTCAAATACATGTTTCCACAAATTGAATTAGTAATGTATTAAAACTACGATAGCGATCATGTTCTTCAGCCGTTATTTTGGAGGAGTTAGTTCATGATACACAGGTTGATAATCAGAGGATCATAGCTAATTTATTATTGCCAAAGACAACTAAAGTGCATGCTGCATTCCCCATCATACTTCAGTTTTACCTTCAGGAATCTCAGTGACACATTTAAGGGCACAAAGCAAAGTCGCTCACATTTAACAAAGTTTGACAGGATCTTTTCAGGGGGTTTTTTCTCCCTTTTTTCTGTCGCTTTTGTGTTACCCTTTTTCCAGTGGTTTGCTGGTGTTTTCAGAAACATAATACTCAAAGACAAGACTTAAAGGGACTCTTTTTTTCTTTTTTTTTCCTAGAATGAACTTTCATGCATTGGATCATAGGCTGCCTGTATATGGAAAACTCTAGACTGTTGCCTATGGCCTATAAAATAAGCATGCTTGATTCTGGTTTATTTCCAAGCAATGGTTTGAATATATAAGTGTTCGAAATTTGCCCCTGGTGACTGGGTGAGAAAATAACACAAAAGCATTCAGAAGATTTGGCACTTTCTCTTTTCTCGCAAACTGAAATGTATTAAAATGTTTTGCACTGTTGCGGGTTTTTTTTGTATGAGGTTTTCAGTTTCTTTCACCTGGAAAAGTTCGCCCTGGGATTGAGAGTGATGTGGAATGTGTGTTATATATGATGGCCCCAGAATCAGCTGCATTGGGACAGTTTCAGACAGTACATGTGAACAAACGTGACATTAATTCAAGTTAAGTGAAAGAAGAAGAATTATCTAAAATAGCATGTTAGGGGCCCTTTAACTTTGTTCTGTTGGGCTGCAGCAGCATTAGTGACTTTAGGTCTGATGAACAAAAACAATAACAATTACAATTCGGTATTACTAAATACCATTGTTAGTTGCCGGTATGTATTTGAAGTGACATTTGTATTCAGTGTGCTGTGTAACATGTATGGGCACTTATCACCGTCATAAAAAAAGGCAATCAACTTTAAAAATCTATATTCTAGCCCTGTATGAGGATCCAATTGTGGCCATTTTCTTTTTGGATTGGTGTTACTCTCAATATTTGACTATTGGTTCTAAAAATCCAAAAATAAAACCTGTCTTATTGACTAACTTTAGACACTCTCTTTGGTTAGAAACAAGTTCCTGCTGGAGTTTCCCTGCGCTGCTCCGGGACACGGTGACCCCATTTAAACACAGGCGATCAAAATATTAACCAAGGCAAGAGGGCGTCTTCTGTTCACAAGCTCATGTCAAGTTACGGCCAGAAGCAGAGGACTTCAAGTTGAACTGTAATACTGTTATTGTGTCACAAAATGTTAAAAGCTCCTCTTGTGCTTCGTGTACACTTCTCTATGTCTAACTCTAGGTCAGGGGTGTCCAAACTATTAAGCTCTGGCCTCAGACGTATCTCTGCTGGTCCTCGGGATGGCTGCCGTTGGTTGTAGGCTTAATGTAAGTAATTCGACAACCGTAACCAAAATAACACCACGCTCTGTAACAAAGGCTTTAGACGAGGCCCAAAGTGAAAAAGGTTTGGACACCACCGCTGGAGGTGTTTCAGATCACCATCAGAATGAATTTTCTTCAGCTGTTACTTCAAAAATGCTGAGGACTAAAATCTAATAATGATTGCTTTACATGTTGTCTGTATTTACAATTAGTCAGCATTTCTAATATTAAAAGCATAAGAAGTTTGCTTTTGCAGATGTCCACAAAAGTTGTGCCTAGGTCACACTTACATTAGTATTAAGTTAAAAGCATTAATGTAAAAATGTTCTTAATAACACATTATGTACAAAGAAATGGACATCAGGGGAGACCAAGGAGAGTCAGCCATAGTGTGAAGTGAGTGTGTGTCGTTATGATAATAGATCCATGGTGTGTGTGTGTGTGTACTTGACTGTGCTGCGATGAAAATCCTCCAATTAAAACATGAGTGTGTGTCGACGAGGACTGTACTGTTGGCTTTCCTTGTTACATGAGGTTTTAATAAAGTGCCTTTACAGTTGTGCAGAATTTAAATCCAACTCTGCTTGTTTACATATTTCACTTTCATATTTACAAAAATAACACATGCCCGATGTATAATCAAATTCTTCAGGAGTTACCATGGAAACAAAGATTTGTAGCTTTTGGATGGTGGACAGTGCTTCTCTGAAGCCATCACTTAGGTCCATGTCATAAGACGATCCAAAGAGACGTACAACCTCACGTGGAAATGTGTTACAGCATTAATCTAGTCTGTACCAGGGTTTGCTCCTTCAAGTAAAAAATCGGACTGAACACTGGAAGCATCTGATATCACCAGTGGGAATGGAAAACTAGACAAATTTGTGTTCAGATGTAACTATTCCAAAGTGACCCTTTGAGAACCTCTTCATTTCACACACGGGCTGTAACAGTCTATGACTGATATTCAAATAGTAGTCAAATTATTTAGTAATAGACTTGGAGTTTACAAGTCAGTCTTATACGTGTCTGCCTGGTGCTATAGAGGTTTTATTCCTCAGACAACTATAATTACTGCAGAAAGATTTGGAATTATGCCATTTTTAATCAACCACCAAATGCTGTTCAGTGGTTTTAAGATAAGATAAGAGTTTCTTTATTCGTCCCACAGTGGGGAAATTTCAAAATGTTATTCAAATTGTGTCAGTGTATAACGCTCCTGGTGAAATTGTGACAAATCACAAATTCACTTGCATTTCATGGTCTCAACAGCAAATGGATTCATCTAAATCATTTACAGCCCTGTTCCACGTGCTATTTCTGATATTTATGTAAACGAGCCTAATGTCGTCAGCTGAAGAATGATAATATTCTGACTTCAGAAGTCCACACCTAATGACTTTAATTTGTGTGATGTCACTGTAGTGAAGGAAGGGGCTCCCAAAGGGTCACGTGTTGCTTCTAAAATACTGAAAGTTCTCACTGGATCTTCACGTATTAGTTTCTAAGACTTGCATGTGTGTATGCAGCATGAGGCCTGTAGTAACACACTAATCCTACTGTTCCTACTGCTACACCAGGTCGGCCTCCACCACACACTGCTCCCTGTACTCCTTCACCAGCTCCACGCCCAGAGTGTGCTGGCAGAAATGGGCCATGCTCTCCCACAGTTGAGGCTCCAGGAACATCTGGCACATCACGTGACCCTTCAGGGCCCGGGTGTGGCGCTGCAGGTGGCCCAGGAACTGTTGCCGCACCAACCCCACGTCTTTGCCGAACATGTCGATGTTCAGGTAGTACCTGCAACACACAGCTTTGTGTAGAATCTCAGATCATTCGAGAGGGCTGAACATGGAGGAGTTTTCCATAGAAAGACATGTTTACTGTTAATGTACATTCAGCAATAATGTTAATAGAATAAAGGTATTTGGATCTTTGGAACCAATTAACTTTATGTTAATAGAAGCTAATACTGCAGAATCAAGTCTGAAATCAAAGGAAGGCATCATTATTATTTTTGCTCCTATATAAATAGAGATTATAATTTACAAATATGTGTAATATGTGAGACAGGCGTCTACTCTGGCAGTTTTTAAAACTAGACTGAAAACAGTTCTTTTTAGCTGTGCATACAAGTGAATGATTTTACCTTTGTTTTTATCTTTAATCTTTTTAATGCACAATGACTATTTATGATTTTAATCCTATGTGTGGTTTTAATGTTTTACGGGTTTTAACTACTTGTGTGATTTTATTTTTTATGTTTTTAATATATCTTGTGCTCTTAATCTGTCTTTTTATGTTTGTGTATGGATAAAACTGTGTATGATGATCCAACGTTCTATTATAATGCAAGCAGTGACTCTGCTCCTTCAAAGACATAAACAAACTGTGTGTTACCAGTCATCTCCAATGGGCACGCTGAAGGGGAAGGTGCACAGACTGGCCACTCTGGGGTTGCTCAGGCTGTCCACCATCCAGTCCACGTCCTTCTTGAGCAGGATGGCCATGTTACTGGAGAGCAGCTTGAAGGGCTGCCAGTCCTGGATGATGGTGGCGTTCGGCAGGACCGGCTGCATCAGGTCTGTGCCCAGAAACAGGCGCTGGATGGTGGTGTGGTCCAGGCGCAGAGGGCTGGCTCGCTGAGAGGAGCTGATCACAGGATAGTGGAGGTCTTCCCCAAAGCCCAGCTCTGACAGGCGCTGCTTCAGCTCCTCCGCCCGGAAACGTACCAGAAGGATCCCCTATGACAGGTGCGGCGAGCGTAATAATGTATGAGCTATCATACGTTCAATCACAGTCAGAAAGTAACAGCCACCAACTAGGAATTTGCTTCAGCATTTGGTGCAAGCAACAACAACAGAAATAGATATAAAAGAATGCATTTAAAAATGCATTAATAAATACTCACAATAGACGTTTAACAGGTATAAACCAGAGGTACAGAAGTATAAAGTGCCTTTCTAAATATCTGTTTCTTATCATGCAGGATGAACACGAGGGCACATTAAGTTGGATGCCCAAATTCACTCTTTATGTTTGTATTTGTTGTGACAAAGTTAGAGGGAGGTGGTGTATTTTGATTGATGCTGACCTGCTTGGTGATGATGCGGTACTTCTGGTAGTCTTTGGGACCCAGCTGGTCGTCCCTGGTCAGGCGTGTCACTTTCACGTCAGGAAACCTGGATTTGACCAGTTCAGAGCAGAAGCGGAGCAGAACCCCAGCCACCCCTTTGCCCCGCTCCTGGGGGGCCACCCGTAGCCCCTCCACCAGCACCGTCTCCCCGCCGTCGATGACACACACAGACTCCAGGGCAATCTGCCACATGGCAACACACCCCTTTAGTATGATTATGGCTCAAACTGATCTGCGAGAAACAAGCTCTGATATGTAAGTATTTGTTCTCTTTAGTCAGCGCGCACAGTGCCACCTAGTGGGCATATGCAAATACTACATTTGTTTCATTTGTCACTGTAGTATTTATGTCTTACCTTCACAGGGCCCTGTAGTCTGTAAATATCTCTGTTCAAAATGTTTGTATACACTGCATGATGACACAAAGTCTCATCTTTAGATGTTCTGGTCATTGTTTGCCTTGAGCTCAGTTTAGTCCTGATACAACTGCAGACGTTCCTTTGTCCTGGTCTAGTCCATATTGTGCTCAAATGCAGCATTTAGATGAACTGTTGGTGTGAGGGTGGATGCACTTAAAATAATGATCATATCAAATGTTGTGCTGACCTGTGCACTCTCAGAGGCCTGTCCTCCATGGCCTCTGAGAGTCCTTCTCAGATACATCTATGACAAAGTCATACCTGGAGGTGATCACAGACTGGAACTGTCTGTCTGCTGTCTAACTCACCACTTTTCCGTGCTTGCGAGCCAGGATGACGATGCGGTTGGTCTCCTGCAGCCAGTCGGAGTATCGGGTGGGCAGATAGTCCAGGCCTCCGTAGATGTCCTGGCTCATGGCCATGATGTCATCAAAGTCCTCTTCTGTGGCTACAGTGAACTGCAGCCCTGCGTGAGACAGCGCCTCGGGCAGCTGCGGCATGCTCAGGTTGGTGTCAATCTTCATCTTTATCCAACTGATGGGATATAAAGCACAACATGGTTAGACACAAACTCTCTCTGGAGCGATGAGCAGGTGGCACCTGCCCAACAGCACGGAACACCTCTTTCCTTTCAGTATTCACATGTTTGTCAATGGTTTGGCTCATGATTCAAACTCTATCCATATGGAACACATGAATCATTGTTCTTACATCAGGTGCATATGTTTAATAATTTATGTCACAAAGAGATCAAGAAACAGGAAAACCAGTGTCAGCTGTACAGTTGGGGGTCACAAAGGTCACATGATCCTGTGTGGAGTCTTTAGGGCCTGGACAATCAAACACATTCAACAAAAAGTTGTACTGCAATTTTCCTTGAGGATCCTTTGGATTATTGAAACACAACTCATGTAATGTCTACTAACTAATACAGTATTGCTAAGCTTTGTGTGGAAATGACAAACAACTGTGGTGTCACTACTATACAAAAACATGTTTTCATACAGGCCAATTATAGCCACGACCACTGGACCAACCCTCCTGAGTTTAGGCTCATTGGGCGACAAAGTTGGGTAAAACGTCATTGTATTTCAAGCATATGCTTCAGATCATTGCAATCAATGGTACAATAATATAAAAGAAATACATGATTTAGTACCCTCCTAAGTAATTTACAATTTAGTGAATAAAGTGTATGTGACAACAGAAAAGGAAACATAAATCAAATCAAAAATCATAACCAGGCCCATCTCAAACCCTGAGTGCACACGTATACAGTTGGTATGGTACATGGCACTGACCAACAGCACTCTGACCTCGTGTTCTTTCAGTCAGACACGAACGTTAGGGCACCTCTGTTAAACACTGTAACCACCTCATGTCTGACCAGAAGAAAGTTTCAAACAAGGGAGCTCAGCCCCTCTCCAGTCATGGACTGGCTTTAGTGCTGTAGTACACACAGCAATGTCAAAAACCAATGAAAAACATGAAAGAAAACAACGAGGAGATGATCAATGAAATTAAACAGATGAATGAATGGATGAATGTAGGAGGTGGAAGAGGAATAGTTTAGTAACATAATATGTGGTGTGGATTACCAGAGTGGAACGTGGCCTGAGCAGCCGGACCCTCTACTTTGTGACACATGTGAGAGTGGTTTGTTCAATGGTTTGGGTCTGGAGGGTCAGGCGGAAACTGAAACGTGTTCATGACGGTTCCTAATAGAACTGTTTACAGTATGAAATAACTTTATTTTTTAACATGTCTCATCTTTGTCTGTCAGCTTGAAGCTATTATGTTTGAGTGCATTTGAGACGATAGTGATTGTTGTAATGGTCCTAAAGTGAACACATGTAGAGGACTGCAGACAGATGGACGTCAGCAGGCGGATGGAGCGTGACAGTTAATGAAGGGCAGAATGATGAGAGATGGTGGTGAGAGAACTAAAGCCATGAGCACATAACAATATGTGCCGCAAAGGAGAGTTTAAAACCCCTTCAAGAAAATAAAAGATTACAAAATAACTTATTGGTACAGATAATCTGTAACACAAATATACAATTCATTGACACCGGGTGGGGGCTAAGAATATGCTAACAATGCTTTAATACTGCCATAGGGAGACATTCAGTGAACTCATTTACCACAGTCAAACCAACCTGGTGTACCATGCGTATTGAGTGTCCTGTTGATTATGGGCGCACATTTAATGGAATTAGCCAGGGGGGCACAGAGGCATGTCCCAATAATCTATGAGAGAGACATGTGAGCATGGGGCCTTTGCAGTGAAAACACTGTCTGGCCGGCCGGACCTCACAGCGACACTGGTACTTTTCCATTGAGCTTTGGGGCTGGTGCAGGCCTGCCAGCCCACTCAGCTGCTGCCAATAAGAGCTATGCTAGTTTGTTTTCGACTCGTCCTCTCTCACACATCCATCCATTCATTCATTATTCTTCCTTCCTCTCTTCAGCTGGCAGCGCACTCCAAACACGCTGGAATTTGGCACATTTGTAAAGACAGTTCGGATGCCATCACACACGGCAGCAGCCAACGGATTTGGAGATTTCCACCGGTTGGTTCTGTTCACTGCACCAGAGAGTCTACTTAGGACAACACGTTTAGCACCAGTCCTGCTGCAGACTGCTCAGGACTACATTATTAAGCACATTTACAAACTTAATTTGAGCTCTGAGAACCAGAGGACCTGAAAAGTAGGAGTCTTTTTGTCCATTTAGGTCCGACAGCCTTGCACCCAGCTTCCCTATGTGCATGTGAATGAGAAATGCTCAAGTTTAGAGAATAGCCAGAAGCTGCATGCACCTGACGAGCCTGTTGAAGTGTGCTGCCAGCTCTGCCCTGTCTGCCACAGACACCCACAACAGTGTAAAGAAGAGATGTGGAGCAGCAGGAAAAAAAGAACACACCATGTCCTCAGCATCGCCTCCCGCTGGTCATGTGACGTCGACACCAAATTCAATCATGTCTCTGGGGCGGATGGTCAGGTCCATGGCTTCGTGCCTGTGGGCTCCAGGCTGATGCAAACACATTAGCATTGAACTGGTCCGGCCTATACATGAGACAAACCATTGACACAGAGGCACCAGAAAATGATTAGTTGGTATATATCCAAAAATCATTCTGTGCTTGTTGCCACATAATCACATCAAAGCTGATCACTGCTTTTGGTCTTTGAGCATTTATGGACATACTCACATGAGCACCGCTGAGACCTTGTAACATGGTTTACAGTCATTACAGACAGCTTAGGCATACATGAAGAAGGTATCCACCACAGTCACTGCAGGAGCACTGATGTCCAAGGCAAGATAGGGAAAAGTCATTTGGGTTTTAACACATTTGTTCATAAAAACTCACACAGTGAGACATTTGTTGCTGTCTTGGCTGCTCAGATCTATATCAAAATGATGTCTTTGAACACACTGTGTATTATAATGAACAATAACACAAAATAAAACACAGGGATTCAGTGCTTCTTTTTCACAAAACAATTTTGTTATTTATCACCGAAAAGAAAACAACCAAAAATAGAGGCACATAATTGAAAAGAAGATCACCTGAACATGCCAATATAGATCATATTATTATTATTCATACAATTACACTTTCCCTCTTTCTGAAAGTACAAGACCAATACTTTGTTTTAATCTATTATATGCACTGTGCCAGTGGTCTTGTCAGCGTTTCTGTTGGTGGGGGTGGGGCACATGGAGGAGGGGAGGCCTGATGCTCTACAGTGATGCAGAAAAGGTAAGCGATGTGCAGACGCTGCTCAGCATGAGGCTCTGCAGCCGTTTGAGGCTGTGCCGCTAATGTTCACATTCAGAATACGTTATGTTTCAATGTGTGTTGTCACTCATTTTAAGAAATTGTGCAATATGTCATTAATGAAGCTGTGCAGGTTTGTGCAATAGACGCATATTTCTAAAGTATTTTTTGCAATGATTAAAAATTATGTTGTGTATTTAGGTTCATGTAGGTTCATGTAAGTCATGTATATTGTGTTTCCCTCTGCCCATGTTTCTACTGTGTCCATCTGTCCTGTACTATTATCCGAACATCTCGTCCCCCATACAGTTAGCCCCCACCCCCTCTGTGGGTCTGTGTTCCTGGAGCCCCTGCACTGCAGCAGCCCTCCACCACAGGACCCTATCTGTGAGTGTGTATGTGAGGGGATCACCCAGCTCTTATGTCACAATGCTCACAGCCTTATCCAAACTCAGATGGCTCAAAGGGGTCATGTGGAGTCATCGGTAACCCTTTGGTGGATTCTCTTTATTTAGTACATTCCATTTAATAATAGTATCACCGTTACCCTCAATTGTGCATCGTTTATACAAAGTCAGACCATTCCATTTGTAGAGTACAATTGCCCACTTTCACTGTGAAGAAACCTCACTAACATTTTGGATTTTCAATCCTTTGTTGCACCACCATTGTCCATAGAAAGAACGCTTTTCTAATCAGTAAACAAACAGTTTGTCTAAATTTATTTTTTCAGTACATGATTGTTTTCACCCAGAGGCTCTTTAAACTAATGTGAATTGAAATCTTCGCTCAGGTGGATTCTCTGACCAACATTTTTGCTGCAGAGGTGATATTCAGAACACATGGAGAGGACAGAGCTCTGAGCCTGGAGGTTGTGATCAGGTCACAGATCTGCAGGTCACCCCTCGCCGCCGCACAGACCTGCTCCTACAGTCACATGTAGCACCAGTATATCATGTATGACATCCTTCAGCAGAAACCGTTTACACCCAAAGTAAATATCTTTCGTTTTTTAGGACTATTTGGTGCATACGCTGCTACGTTAGAGCCATATTTTTGAAGTAAAAATCCAAAATGTAACTGAAAGGCCCTTAGCTCCACCCTTATTTTTTATAGACCAAGAGGCTTTTAGAGCATAGAACCATATGTCCTATCTATAGCCAGTCATGTTCTTCTTATTATTATTAGTATTGTATTTTGTAGTTGACCTCTATTTAAATCTCAGGTAAACGATAGACTATAACTAAAACAGTTTTTAGCATTAACATCTCAATATAGTAAATCTCTTTAGGTTCCTTGTATCATCAAAATGTATATCAGTATAGTTTAGTTTCAATAACGCTAAAATAAAACCAACAATGATGCTCATATATAGCCTAATACTAATTACAGGCAGATATTTTCACAAGGTTAAGCTAAAAATAGGCTACAACCTACACTGCAGCCTCTTGTGTGATCGGGGGGCAGTGAAGGAATGAATTATAGATCTATAGCATCACGACCTAAATAACCAAATGTGCGGTTGGTTAAGATTCACAGCGTTTCGACATAAACCGCAAAAAGCCTGAGACGGGAGAGAAATGGGGGCCGCGGCGGTTCTACAGGGGATCCAGCTCAGCCATTCATACGCGTCGTGTCGTGGTGGTCACATCCATCCATCCATCCATCACTGCAGAAATGGGGATAACACGCGGAAAACGGGCCTACTTCACCGATAATCATTCAGCCAGCTCAACCTCACTGCGGACAATGGTCAGGCGTATACGTCACGACACACTGGCCCTCACGGTCAGCTCTGCTGGTAATTTTCCTCCCGCGATCTCCCTTTATCTAACTGCAGAACGCACGGAGACCGGCTGCCGCTCTGCTGCAGCTCTTACCGCAGGTTAGTGGGGGTCGTGTCCTTGCAGTGCCCGCAGAAGCGCAGGAGAATGGGAGAGCAGAAGATGGAGGTGGTGATGGTGCCTTCCCGGATGCAGCCGTTGAGCCGGTGGCGGAGGAGCTGGAGGATGAATGGATAAAGAGGGATAGGGTTTGGGTGAAACCCCGAAGCACCGCCCCCTCCCAGTGCAACAACGTCAAGTGTCCGTACTGGATCCACTGGTCCCCTCCCCCAGCCCGTATCCCTCCCGGTGCTGCGTGCGCTTTGTACGCGAGACACATGGACTCGCATGTGTTTGATGTGACAGAGGGGAGGGGGCTCCTGCATGGACGAATTACACTGACTCTAAATCTTCCCTTTTCAGCCTGTTCCCGGACAATCGCAGGAGCTGATTCATTGAAAAGTTCGCTGAGACTTATTCTAAACAGTGTCACAATCCTTTAGTGAGGAGGCCTACAAGCATGCTGTTTCCATGGCGGCAGCGCTCATTACGCACATGATTGAAACCCAATTTGCTGTTGTCTATAAAAGTGCGCATGCTTTTGCATTTTAAAATGTACCAAACTGACTTTAAACGCAGATATAGGATTTCAGCACCAAGGACAGCATTTCTACTGCTGTGATCTGCATCGATCCACATAAGTCCCCGAAAGACCTATATTCTACTCTATTCTATTTTCTATTCTAGTCTATTCTGTTACATAACGATATAAGTCTATAAGACTAGTTTGCTGGAAATACGCAATAACAGTTGATCTCGTCATGGGACTTTGTGTCGTGATTAAAACTAATCAGAAGTTTCTTAAGGCCAGTGAAATGTTATAATTCGACATATACTTGTTTGTGTATTGTCTACTCATAAATGCAGTGTAAATGTAATTATACATCTGTATAGTGAATTATTGACAAAATTGTTCATTCTGGTAAATGGCTAAATGTACCAAAGGATTTTCATTGTTGGTAAATCAGGTATATGCACCTTTAATGGGGAAAAAATTAACTAGGTCTGGAAGTAAAATCATTTATAATAATGAACTTGGTTATAAAAGCACACATACCAGAACAAGCCTACAGCTCTATGTGTGTGTCTCCGCATAATGATTTCTCCAAGTGTGTACTTCACTTCAGGAGGCTATAGGCTCTCACCCAAAGAGGGACGCATTTTAATACATGTTGAATTCACAGAACTACACTGTAAACCCTAACTTCAATCCTACTTCAGATATCAAAGTTATTTTAAATAGATTTTTCCCAGTAAGTAGATATTACTCATTTATTGTTAGTTTATTTAAAGCTTGCCTATGTCACTCAGGGTTTTCTTTGAATTGAACTGTTTCTGTTCAAGTAAGCCTCACTTTTGACATTTTGACGTGTAGACTCTTTAATGAGGCAGGTGTGACAATGGCAGGGTGTCCTGGTGGCTGAGTGGGTATGGTGGCTGAGCACCATTACCTCTCAACTACAGGGTTCTGAGTACGTAGGTAGAAATTTAAACTTTATTGCAATCACTTGAGTTTACTTGGTAATATCAAGTAAAGGGTGTACTCGAGGAATTCAAGTGAAGTTAATACGCAATTTATTTCCATGGTTTTTTCAAGTAAACTTTACTTGTCAGGGTTTACAGTGTAGTGCAATGCATATCTGTATTTGTACATGAGAAGTGCCTTCAGAGTAACTGCAGAACAGCCACAGCCTGAATAGAGAGTTTATTAACTCTGTGAACATGATGGTCTGTTTTCACCTTCCAGCCGTAACCGAGAGGCTTCCGTCTATTTGTCAAAAAATCAGCGAGATCTGCAGCCACAAACACACACAGACAGGAAGTATGTATTCATGTGGGGGAAGTAGAGTTAGTGGAGTTCTAATTGTCCTAACATGTAATGAAGAGACATATTTTCAGTTGGGGACAGGTCTTGATAATACCTCCTTAAAAAAAAAGTGAACGTCAGTTGTAAATGTAAAGAGAGAGTGAGACTAAACGTTAAAAACCACATGGTGTCTTCCGTCTGTTCCTGTTTGTTCATGTTTCACAAATGTAAAGACAATATGATGCATGTATATAACATGATAAGAATGTTCCAAACAAGGCATTGACCCTCTCTCTCATGAACATATTATTGATTAAATGCTAATTTTGTGTAACTTAAGAAAAAATTAAAAAGCCCAATTCAAAGCTAAACAGCGAGATACAGAGATTCCATGCATTATAGATAGATAAATATGTATTTTCTATGTTCTACAGAGCTTCCATGCATTATAGATGGATAAATCTGTATTTTCTATGTTCTAATACATCCACATAAATTTTTTTACTTACACCCAGAAGAGTAAACATGATGACTTTCAATATTTGACAGGATTTGAAAAGATGTGAGCGATGTCATACACCGGCTGTCCCTTCGACCTCAGAGGATTAACAGGAGTGGTCACAGAATTGAATTAGATTGAATAGCAATAAATAATAAACATAGCAAGAGCAGCATGTGATTTATGGATTTAAACAATACGGACCACTAGAGTCAAAACACATCTCCATAACTGAACCTGCATCTGAGTGTGACATGTTTCTGTTAAAAATACAACACAAAAAGAACCATTGGTGACATATGATGGTTGATTACTTAGAAAATGTGTGTTTGACGATTGATTCAGTGGTGTGTATGTTCATAATTTAGCACAGTTTTGTATAGCAAAGTAGTTTAAAAACAGGATCTGTGTCGCTAAATTATAGTAACTGATTTTAAAGGATCCTGCCTCAGCTCTCTCTTTGGCCTAAGAGGATTATCCTAGTGCAGTGGTCACAGATATTCAGTAGATTAAATAGTATAGCATTGAATAACAAGCTTTTAATAGCGATAGTGTCATGTCCTCAGCCAATACACCATCTGTAGGCCATAACATATAACTATACTTAGTCTATAGGGCACTTTTCCTTGTAATAATTTGACAGTAACCCTTCAAAGTCAACAGCATCACAACAATATGTTTAATATGTATTTGCACTGTTTTTATATCTTAGTGTCTGTTTTTAATTTCTTGTAATGTGATTTTATTCTGTGTATAGGCTGAATATTTTTACACTATACTCATTGTTGGCAGATAGAAGAGAGATCTTGATGTATTTTATTTATCAATTCATCAATTATTCATCAGTTCTATTCTACTGCTTTTCATTTTGCTTAAAGAGCTTCCTCTCTCTCTTGTTTTTGTCCGGTGCGTATATGTACACACATTTTCAAATATAGTGGTACATAAAAAGACTGACGCAGGATATACATGATTTTCCATGGTATTTTTTAAGCTTGTGGAAAGTTTTATACTGCCCTCTGCTGGTGTACTTTTTAACACAAAAGGTTTGTCATGCGCCTCTTGTGTGATAGTAAATATTTACTGGGCTTTTGAGGGCTTCCTTCATACCTACTGTTCTGTAATGTGCAACTGGCATTTCTCCACTGTGGGAAAGGTTCTCTTATCTTTTCTTGTATGAGCATTTCCTTGTTAACAACTGTATTGTGCTCTTGTCATATTTACTATTATTTTAAATGTCCCTTTAAATTCTCACTGAAGGGTCTATACCACCGAAGGGTTAACATGATCAGAATTCTTGCTTATATTGTTTAGGAAAAATGTTGATTTCCCGATCAATAATACGCATCTATCTTTATCACCCACAAATGTTTATAAATTGTATAGCAGTAGCAGTAACAATAAAGTAATTGCATAGGTCTAAATAGAATAAATAAACAACCAGACAAAAAACTAAATCAAGCATATTGGATTATGACCACCCTTGTGACAAAATGATTAACGCCTCATTCAAGTTGTATACAGAAGTCTATAGTTTTTGTATCTTTTTGTATTTACTCCCAGATAATGTGTAAATAAAACTGAGCAAGAAATTATGGTGCTATTTATTCCCCATCTACATTCATGTATATAATAACTTCCCAGTATTGTTAAAGATTCAACATTATATTTTAAGTAACATTTAATATTATCATCATTGTACGGTCCTTTTTGCTTTTTTATAACCCATAAAATAATTCTATCATTTGGCAAGTTCTTGTTTCACCGTGTTTTCTAGCGCCAACCAGAAGAGTCTTACCACAAAGCAGTCCTTTTATGGCCGTTCTAAAAAAAACAACAACAACAAAAAAACAACAAACGCAACAACTACATCTCCCAGCAACCATTGCGGGATTCAGTTTGACAAGCAGCCAATCCGCGCCATGACAGCGTACCACGTGACGCAGACTCATTTCTTACTGAGGCTAGGGGGAAACAGACCGACATTCAGCCACGGGAAAAACGCTCTTTGCGGGTGAGTAGACGCCTCCAGCCGCGGTGTAGCCCTGGTATCGTCCCTCAAACGCCTTTCGGACATTATTAACCACTCGGTTTACTCGCTGCAGGCTTTTTACGGCTTTTAATTCATCCATTTTGAGCTGTCGTTGTGTGTAGGCCTCCGCTATTTCCTGGTGCAAGTCCACAGCTGTGCCCACTGGAATACCCAAGTTGGAAAAGTTAACTTGAAGCGATCGAATCTGTTTTTTCCCTTCTTTGTTTGTTATGGTTGATAGGAGTGGAACGGCGCGGATTGGACTGGCATGGCGAGGCTGGCTGGATGATCCTGGTGTTGATGTGTATTGACAAGTTACAGACAGCGCCAAGTTCACCAGAGACCACCACTCCTAACCCTGTGCCACTACAAAGCAGATCTGCAGCCACAACTTAAAAATAGTCTGATTACATCACACACCGTAGTTTATGTTTTGTTTTCTTGCTTCATTCCTCTCATTATGTTATTACCCCACATGCAAAAGTCCCTTCTGGTTAAGATAGAAAGTTGTGGTTCGTTGATGTCACGCTCAAGAAGGGAGTGCCCGATCATAATTGTCTAATATCTTTTATGTTTTGGCTGTATATAGAGTTCCCACGTTGTAGTGTTACCAGGCCAGGAGGGTCATGCATGGGTTTGGGAGGAGCAACAGGATGTGTGTGTTTGTGCTTGTCTGCAAACATACAGTGCTCCAGTGCATGTTGCTTTTTGTAGTGTAATTATTGTGACAAATGGTGCTGTATTGTACCCGTACTGTTTTGGAAGGTGTTGGGAAGATTCTTAGAGAAATGCACATATTTGTTTTTGCTTGATGCTTTTCCTGACCCTTCTGAATGTTGTTCTATGACACAAAGTCCAGTAATGTGTTAAACTGAATGAATTTATGAATGAATCCATACACTACAAGTACAACTACAACCACATTTCTTGTTCCAAGCATATTCCAAGCAGAAAGGGACCAAATTATTGTGAACAAAACAAATCTAAA